CCCACCCAGACCCAGTGACTATGTTATCCTCCCTTACTTCTGCTCAAGTGACTGAAATTGGATTATTTTCAGAGCCACTAATATCCTTGAACCAAAAATACCAGTATTTTTGGAGAGCAGGCCTGTAAATAGCCAAGATAGTGCTTTAATGAGGCTTTCCTGGCCAATGGTGAGAAGGGGTAAGAGAGCAATGGATAAAGGACAACTCATGAAAAGAACTGGCTGTGAAAGGGCCAGGTCCTAGGATATCTTGCTAGAACAGATTGTTCAGCAGGGCCTTTATTGGTGCCTCCCTGTGCTGGAGACAAGCTAAGCCTACAGTCCAATATCTTGCCAAATAATCTATTTTGTATTGGCTTTAACTCACACTCACAAATTACTTTTTTTTTTTTTTTGAAACTTCTTATGTGTTTATTTTTGTTCACATTGTAGTGCAAGTTCTCAGACCTTTCTCTGAGAAACAAGAGTCCAGAGGCTCTTGCTGCCTTCTGAAGAAGGAATACAAGGCTCCCTTATCTTTACAACTGTGGAAAGATATGTGGGGTGGGGAATAAGACAGTTCCTCAATATTTCTTCTCCCTTTGCAACAGTTTTGTTATATGGGTCATTATTCCATTTAATTCAACAAGTATGCATTGGACCTTGTATGTGTTCAGCCTGCAGTAATGTGCCGTGGAGGAGACAGAAGGGAGTGTGATAGCAACCTTCTGCTTATAAACTATATAACCCATCTTAGCTCTTTAAGAGTTTGGGGCAGCATGAGCTGCCATAGCTTCCATGGACAGAACAGAGAAAGCTGCTTGAGGTGCTTCACTTTAGAGGCCAACAGACCCACCAGGTGGCAGTATGCATTGGTTTCCAATTTGAGATCCAGAACAGGTTTTATATAAGTTTCCATTCAGTTTGAGCCACAGGCCTTTCAAACAGAAAACCTATTCAGCATGCAGTCTGAGCTATTTGACTCATAACTATAGATGTAGAGAAAGGCAAATAGAAACCAAAACCTGCTTTGAATCAGACCCTTCACAGACACATTCTCCCCCAATAAAAAAACAAAAACCAGTAAAAAACAAACAAAAAAAACCCTTGAGCCTAGAAAGCTAAGAACTATTCAGCTAGTTTTCAGTATCCATGGGAATGCTCTTAGTATATAAAAGAAGAAATACTATAAACAGGATTGGAGCAGTGCCTTCACAACTAGTTGAGCTAGGTCACATCAAGAGGACAACAGGTGCCCTGGCCGGTGCTCAGTGGTTAGAGCGTCAACTTGCAGACCAAAGAGGACAACAAGTAATGAATATGCTACAGCATTAATGTCTTTCACAAGCTTACATGTAAGAAATCTTACTGGAGGACTTCCGGTCAAGATGGCGGCATAGGTAAATGCAGTACTCACCTCCTCCCACAACCACATCAAAATTATAACTAAACTACAGAACAACCATTATTCAGAATTACCTGAAATTTAGCTGAATGGAAGTCCTACAACTACAAAATTAAAGAAGAGGCCACATTAAGACTGGCAGGAGGGGTGGAGGCATGGACAGGCTGGTTCCACACCCACGTGTGGCAGATAAAAATCAGGGGGATATCTCAGCTATGAAGATCCTCCCTGAGGAGTGAGGGGTCCCCATCCCACAACAGGTTCCCCAGATCAGGGTTCCAGTGCCAGGAAAAGAAGTCCCCATAACTTCTGGCTGGAAAAACCAGCAGGAATTGAGGCTCAGGGAGGCTGAGGCTATTAGAGTCCCAGACAGTTCCTCTTAAAGGGCCCACACACAAACTTACTTGGACCTACTCCTTCCAGACTCCAGTGTGGGGGAGGCAGCTCGAAAGTCATCAGAGACATATGGGGAAGAACTCAGTTGTTTGACATTGAAACAAGGGCTGAAGAGGCAGCTTTCTTCCAGACATATGTGCTGGTGGAGGCCCTTGTTTCTTTGGTGAGCTCTTCCCCTACAGGGCAGTCAGAGGTACACCATGTCTGGGACACCAGCAACCTGGCTCATATTTTTTGCCCCACCCTGGTGATTCCCTGAGGCCCTGTCCCACCCAACTTTCGGGCCCACCCAAGCTATTTCCAGTAGCTTTACCATAGGATTGCCGTGTTTTGGCTCCTGTTTCAGATTTTCCTAAATTCTCTCAAATAAGCAGCATCTGGTCTCAGGGAGCCCCATACCTCTTGCTAAGTGGCCCCAGACCTGGCACTAGAAGCATCCAGCCTTAGTTCACAGCTTGGCTTTGCCTGGACTCCTCTAAGCCCAGCACAAGAAGCAGCCATCTGTAGATCCCTCTGTAGCTTATGCCTGGTAGCCCTGCGTAGAACACAGGCAGAGGCTGACCTTGCCCCAGAGCCAGCACACCCAGTGGACAGCTTCAAACCATGTCAAAACACCACCACCCAACCACCTCCACAAGTGACACACTCAAGGAATGGACTCAGAGGGTACCAGAGCCCTGCTGAAGTAAGCCTTGCTCTGTGTGGTGGGCCCTGCACAGCTGATCCTCCAAAGTAGTCAGAGATCAGTAGGCACAGCCAGCCCTTGCAGCTCATTAGCCTGAATAAAACCCCCCATTAACATGCCAACAGCAATCAAGACTCAATTACAACAGAAGGGTGAACAGTCCATATGAGGAGTGTACCTTGAGGGCCCAGGTGGAGTGACCAAGGAGGCTGTTCCACTGGACCCTACAGGACACCTACTATAATAGGCCACCCTAGGAAGCCTAGGAGACAAAGTAACTCTACCTAGTACATAGAAACAAACACAGGGAGGCAGCCAAAATAAGGAGACAAAGAAACATGTCTCAATTGAAAGAACAGAACAAAACTTCAGGAAAAGAACCTAATGAAATGGAGGTAAGCAATCTAACAGATGCAGAGTTCAAAACACTGGTTATAAGGATGCTCAATGAACTTAGTGAGAATTTCAAGGAACTTAGTGAGGACCTCAAGAGCATAAAAAAGGACCAGTCAGAAATGAAGGATGCACTAACTGAAATAAAGAATAATTTACGGGGAGTCAATAGTAGAGTAGGTGAAGCTAAGAAGCAAACCATCAATTTGGAATATAAAGAAGCAAAAAACACCCACCCAGAGCAGCAAAAAGAAAAAAAGAATCCAAAAAATAAGGATAGTATAAGGAGCCTGTGGGACAACTTCAAGTGTACCAACATTTGCATCATGGAAGTGCCAGAAGGAGAAGAGAGAGGGCAAGAAATTGAAAACCTATTTATAAAAATAATGACAGAAAATTTCCTTAACTTGGTGAAGGAAACAGACATACAATTCCAGGAAGCACAGAGAGTCCCAAACAAGATGAACCCAAAGAGGTCCACACCAAGACACATCATCATCAAAATGCAAAAGGTTAAAGACAAAGAGAGAATCTTAAAAGTAGCAAGAGAAAAGCAGTTAGTAACCTACAAGGGAGCTCCCATAAGACTGTTAGCTGATTTCTCAAAAGAAACTTTGCAGGCAAGAAAGGAGTGGCAAGAGGTATTCAAAGTGATGAAAAGCAACAGCCTACAACCGAGATTACTCTATCCTGCAAAGCTATCATTTAGAATCGATGGTCATATAAAGGGTTTCCCAGACAAGAAAATCCTAAAGGAGTTCATCACCACCAAAATAGTATTATATGAAATGTTGACAGGTCTTCTTGAAGAAGAACAAAAGTATAAACACTAAATGGCAATTAATGCATATCTATGAACAATTGAATCTACAAACAAAATGAGCAAGCAGAACAGAAACTGACTCATAAATGCAGCAAAATTTTTCTTGGTTTCCATATGGAAAGGGGCTGGGGGGATGAGTGAAAATGGTGAAGGAATTAAGAAGTACAAATTGATTGTTAGACTGGTGAACCTCAAATGGAAGGGGAAAGGGAGGGCAGGAAGAGGTAAATTAAAGAACTTACATGCACATATACATAACCAATAGACATAGAAAATAGTGTAGGGAAGGCGGGAGGGGGCAGAGACAGGGATGAGGGGGTCAATGGGGGGAAAGGGAGCACATCTGTAATACATTCAACATTAAAGATAAGTTTAAAAAGAAAAAGAAATATTCACTGCCTCCTTTACTCTCACAATAGGCTTGCATGTTGTTTGCCAAACTCTGTGCTCCATAAAGTCCAATTTTAAGCAATAACAAAATGGCTTTGATTTAGTTTGCTGGGAAAGTCTTTATCCACTTAGGTAATGAACTCTTCTGTATCTAGGAGCCCTGAATATGCTTGTCTTAGACCCAGTGGGGAGGAAACTCTTTCTCACTCACTCTTCTTTTTGGATTTCTGCTTCTCCATAAAGCACCCTCCAGTCATATTCATGGCTGTAAGCCCTCAACTCTAGTGAGCAGGGAAAGAGTGATTGGAACCCATGTCATAGTCTCCTTTGAAGTGCTCCTAGGGCCTGCAGGTTTCTAGACCAAGCCAAGATAGAAAGACTTCCCACTGAGAAAGATATTGCAGTCATCATATATCCAAAGGACAAAAGATCTTCACTCTAGTATCGACCACCAAGAATTAACAGTTCTCCATTTGTGGGTCAAAGAACCAAGCTCCTAGATGGTGGAAGAAAAGCCTATTCTCATGGAAAGGGCCCTGAAATGGAAGTCTGATCACCTGGCTTTCTCACTGATTCTGTAACCCATACAAGATGCTTAGCACTTCTGAGTGTTAGTCTCCCCATCTGCAAAATCAACGAGGTCAGATATTTTATCATTTCTATGCTGTTAATCCATGTTACTATAAATATATGCAATATTGTTTTGGGAAGAAGACATTACTTCTAGAACCAAAATAGAACTTTGAATGAATGGTCCAAATTATATTCAGGCCCTATGTGCTTCTCAGACGGTAACAGGAGACTCAGCATGATGAGCCTCTGCAATGGGACAGTGGAGATGGTTTGAAATTACCTACATGTTTTGGATGAGGCTGGAAGACCTATGAGGTAATTTATGTTAAAACCTATGGTTTCTTTTTTTCTTTTAGGGATTTGGAGCTGCAGGAGAAAAAGGAGAAAAGGGAATTCCTGGTTTGCCAGGACCTAGGGTAAGAACCTTGAATTTTTCTTGTCTGAGTCTGTTAAGTCACCTGGTGCATTATATTTCCTGCTTTCATCTTTATGTTATGTAACCTTATGGCCACTTAAGCTTCTTTTTTTCTCTTCTTCAGCCTTCTGGCAGGCCCCTAAGACTACCTTCTCTCCACTTTGCCCCATTTGCCTGACTTAGTGGCCCCCTTGAAAAAGGAATAATATACCCCCTATAGTAGGTGACTACTCAGACTATTTACTCTACTTGTGCTCATATATAATTATCTTCTGGGCTAAAGAAGTATGTAAGTGTTGTCTTACTTTCATTTTATTATATCCTTTGGGAATGTGGGCAAGGGTGGGAGATGGGGGAGGGGGGTACAAGAAGGGAAAAAAAGAGGGTCAAGTGTAGTTTTTATAAAACAGAAACAAGCCTGGGAATTTCTAAAATGTAATGATGTTTTGAGTCAACAGTTTCCAATAATAATCTCACTTCAAGTGGAAAAATAACTTTTAGCCTGTCTGATCTTTAGCTACATGCACTTGGGACTTATGCTGTAAGCAACTGGCCAACCTTAGCCTTAAAGAAATAACATTTAGAACACTGTGTTTTTAGCTTTATCATGAAGGTTGTTAAAGCGTCTTTTGAGTTTTCAGCAAAGTTCATCCATTATACTGTCATTTCTTTCTCTTCTTTTTCCTACTCCCTTGTCTTTAAAAGGCATTATCACCAACAAGAATGCATTTGGGATGAGAGACAAGCGGCCCTCCCACACTCTATTTAAAAATCTCATGATTTGAAACTAAAACATACTAAGTATAATACCACCCAGCCCTTCTACCAAATTCCACCCAGTACTGAACAATGTTTCCATTTATTTAGATCTGTAAAAAAATGCTCTGTGTGGCTATTTAGCCTAATGGATTAGTGTTTAGAAAGAAGTTATTAAGCTAGGTCCAGGAACATTCTCTTACCTGATTTTAGGAGCTGCTAAATCCTGAACTCAGTTGGATAGTTTTGTTACATAGGTCTAGAGGCTTTTTCTAGTGTGAGCTATTAACCTTTCTAAGGTACTTCTTTTCTCTTTACAGGGTCCCATGGGTTTAGAAAGAGTTCGTGGACCTCCAGGGAGTCAGGTATATTGGTTAATATTATTAAAACCTTGATGTATAAAATCTGAATCAGCCCTGGCAGGTTTGGCTTAGCGGTTAGAGCGTCGTCCTGCGGTCCAGAGAGACCCAGGTTCCGTTCCCACTAAGGGCATGTACCTCGGTTGCAGTTTGTCCCCGGCCCTGGTTGGGTCGTGCAGGTGGCAGCCACTCAATGTGTCCCTTTCACGTTGATGTTTCTCTCTCTCCTTCCTGCTCTAGCTGAACAAAAAATGGAAAAATGTCCTCAAGTGAGGATAAAAAAAAAAAAAATCTGAATCAAAGGGTCCTATCGCTTTTCTTAACATGGACATCAATCCAAAGGGAGATATTGCTTATAATGCAAATTGTCTACCTCCCTTTGATTGATAAAATCTCAACCACTCTCTTCTTTTGTTTTCACCCAAGAAGATGAGTATCCAGTATTAAGTTTGGTACCATGCCATGCCATGATGTGGTCATACTTCTTTAACATGTTATCAGTGCCTAGCAAGGCCAGCCTGCTTGTATTTATCTCTAGCCTTGTGACCCTCTAAACAGGCAAGTTGGCTACCTAGTGTGCCATATTGCCTTCTGTAACAGATTCCGGAGTCATGTAGGATCCATACATACCCTGGAATGCCAGCCAATGTCCCTGTGCCATTTGTACTAGTCTAATCCAAAGAACAGCCCTTCTTATGCTCTTAGACATTCAACTTAGCTGTAACTATGTTCTGTCACAGGGCAAGAAGGGGTCCTCAGGTCTCCATGGGCTTAATGGATTGCCAGGAATTAAGGTAATGTTGTTGGGAAGTGAAAATCCAGGATTGGGAAGGTAGAAGAGTGAAGAATTACTAAAACAGGTGTTTAGTCCATTCAGGCTACTATAACAAAATATCACGGACTGGGTAGCTTATAAACAACATAAATTTATTGTTCACAGTTCTAGAGAGTGGAAGTCTGGGATCACAGTGCCAGTATGGTTGAGTTCCACTGAAGGCACTCTTCCAGCTTGCAAACTGCCTACTTTTTCCTGTGTCCTCATGTGGTAGAAGGAGTGAGCTAACTCTATTGGGTCTTTTATACAATGGCACTGATCCCAATTGTAGGGGCTCTGCCCTCATGACCCAGTCACCTCCCAAAGACCCAACTTCCTAATACAATCACTTTGGGCATCAGGTTTTCAACATTAATTTGGGAGGAGGGCACAAACTCTCAGACCATAGCAAATGCCTACATATGAAATGAAGTATGTTTTAAGTATTTTGACATTTTTAAATGTCACCATTTTTGCATGAAATGCATAATCTTACTTTTAATACACAAAGTTAATGAGCATTTGTTTAAATGCTACTTGATAGGTGGTAGACTTATGGGGAGGGGAATGCGGTAGCAAATCCATCCCTCCAAGGAGAACTATTTTATTATTGACATTGCTTAGTATTACCAACTTTTCAATTTTATTATTGTTTTCTTAAATTCTCTACAGACAATACATCCTCTTATTGCCTGCATCTGGGGCAGGGAATTCCCACCACTGCACTCTGAATATGCCATTGTATCTGATTATAGTACCTTAGTCCCTCTTTGGGACAATTAAGATTTCTTTTGCCTGGCATCATTCACTAACAAGAGAAGTGACAATAACAAAGGCCCAAGCCTGCTGCGAGTGGAGAAAATATTGAAACGCTGCTCCCCCCTTGGCATCTCTTGGGTGTAGCTATATTTTCTGTTCCTGTGATATATTTGACAGGCCTAGAAACAGAATGTTCTGGAGTCAGATTGCAAAATAAAATTGGGATCCCTTGATCTTGGTAGTTGCAACTGAGTATCAGGCCTTTGGCCTGCCTTGTATTATCTTCATCTTAAATTGATACCACTTTAAAATTACCTATGGAGTAGTTGGCCCTGGAAATCAGGGGTTGCAGAAGGAGGAGCCTTTAATTTTTCTGGGGAATGGATTTGAGGACACATAGGTCTTGGGTGATAAGGTCACAGAAATATTTGTTTTTAATGTATTTAATCCTTGCAGGGCGAAAAGGGTGTTGTTGGCCTGCCAGGCCCAGATGTTTACATCGATATAGATGGTGCTGTGATCTCAGGTGAAATTTTTCATTGATTTGAGCAGAGAAGAAAAGACAGGGAGTTAAATTCTATATCCCTTTTAATTGTTAAAAAATACTTTGTCAGCCACTAGATTGCTGCTAAACCCAATACCCCCAAGGCCCTTCCTGGTTCCTAAACTTAGGGAGTGAAGCTAACTCCAGTGTCTTGGGGAAACACAACAAACACTGCACTATGTTTTTGTGTTGGGTCTATCAAGACTAGGGTTTGAGTTGGCCTGGGCTTGGATTTGCTAAAAATGTTTCTTCTAGTGATCCTTAGAGAAGGATTGATATCCTTCCCAGCTAGGCTGACTTTAGCCTGATACTGTGGGACACTCAGGGTCTCAGCTTCATGATCCCATTCATGCTTGAGCTTGCCAGTTTCATTGGATATAAAATGTATCTTTGGGTTGCAGATTCGATCCTCAGCCCTGGTCAAGGCACATGCGAGAGGCAACCAATCAACATGTCTCTTTCACCAATCTCTCTCTCTCCCTTCCACTCTCTCTAAAAATCAATGAAAAAAATATCCTCAGAGGAGGATTTTTAAAAAATGTATCTTTGGCTATGTGAGCAACTGGTTGACAGCCCTGACAGTATGATGCTTTGAAAGTTTGTCTTCACCTCTCCTTTTTCTAGTTACTGTGTATGCCTAACTCTTCCCTTTACCTTCTCCAATGATCCAGATGCCCACTCTCTCCAGCTACTTCTTTCTTGACCAAAGGCTTCTACTATTGTGCTACTTCCATCTGGGTCTCCTAGTTTATCTTTCTCCCCTCATCCTCCCAGGCCCATGCCCTGTCTGTTAAGCCCATTGAAGTTAGATGTTAATGGTTGACAGTGACTTCCTGTGTTCCTCTCCCAGGAAACCTATATGTATAACATGAATAATAGACTTCAACACCTTAACCCAAATGGTAGACATTTGAGGCATTATAGCAGATTATTAGTAATAGTAGAAGAAACTTCCTAGTACTTACCAGATCTTACCATGGAAGGCAAACCCTGGCCAGACCAGTTCTGAATACTAGTGGAGTCTTAGTTCAAGTAGACCCACTATCACATGAGGACGTTAGCATCTGGGAAAGACATATGAAGGGCAAGAAAAGGGCACTTCTACCTGAAGACATCTCCTTTCATCTCTTCTTAGGCATTGTGTGGCATTTGTAGACCTCCTCTGGGTTTGCTTACTGTTTTTTGTTTTTTCACTGCAATGTCAGGTTATCCTGGAGACCCCGGTATGCCAGGCCTCCCAGGACTTAAAGGTGATGAAGGCATCCAGGGCCTGCCTGGCCCTTCTGGCATCCCTGGATTACCAGCTTTACCAGGTGAAACAAAATAATCCACCTCCTACACAGATCAATTCTATCTCCACTCTGGTGCATAGTATCCCCTTCTATATCTCTGCTCTGGTATATACCTAGCCAAAGTCAAAAGTTCTCACTGCCAACCTAAGGCTAATATATATGAGGAGTGGGCCTGGGTAGACAGTTCTCCTTTGGCCTCAATGTTGTGCCATAGCTAAACAGGCAATCCCGACTGTCATTGAGGTTTGCAGCAATCAGAGAAACATGGGTTGGACTGCTGGAGCCCTATCATTCTTCTGAGGATGCCATCCCAGTTGATGCTTAACAGAAGGACCTAGGCCTAACGAAAGCCCAGAGGAAAGTTGGTACCCAGACCCCCACTCTGTGCATAAATCAGGTGTTAAATGGCCCCAGAATTCTATGGATTGTACCCTTAAAACAATCATCTAAGGGGCATACACATTTGGAATTCTATAGTAACAAAAATAGAAAGGGCATGCTAGAGTCTGTGAGGCAGCAATGTTCCAAATGTAACAACTCAGACATTACGTTTATTTATTTTATTTTAAATCCTCACTCAAGGCTATGTTTATTGAATTGAGAGAGAGAGAGAGAGAGAGAGAGAGAGAGAGAGATCAATGTGAGAAAAAACATCAATTGGCTGCCTCCTGTATGCACCCTGACCGGGGATAAAACCCGCAATCTAGGTATATGTCCTGACTGGGAATTGAACCCGCAAACTTTTTGATGTATGGAACAATGTTCCAACCAACCGAGCCACCCAGCCAGGGCTCAGATATTACATTTAAAGGCACCAGTTTCTAAATTCCTTGGAGATGGGCTTCTGCAAGGACACCTGTGCTTTTCAAGCAGCCACTTGGAAGGGGTATAGCTGATCCCAGAACCAAAATTGAAAAAAATCAAGAAATGGGAAGCTAAAGACCCAGGCTTCCATCTGAGGTTTGCCACTAAGAAACTGCACCCCTGACCAATTTTTTTTTTTTTAATGTCATTGGGCCTTCATTTCCCAAGAGGTTAGGCTAGGTGATTCCCAAGGACACTTCTATCTCTGATGCAAGAAAAGGACAAATACTTTCCCAAATTCTTACCTTGGAGTTGAGTTTCCAATGTATGTCACTGAGTAGAATACCCTTGAAGAGTAAGTAGGGTGATATGATTAGCATTTTTGTGTGGGTTTATCTTTCCAGGTATGTCAGGTGCCCTAGGGCCCCAGGGAGTCCGAGGCCTGAAAGGGAACAAAGGAAACAGAGGCCGTACCACACTTGGGGCAGCTGGCCTTCCTGGAAAAAAAGGTTTGCCAGGCCTGCCAGGCCTGCCAGGCCTGCCAGGCCCACCTGGTAAGTTGTTCATTTCTTTTTGGTCTTTAGACTCAGGTGTGATCCAGACTACAGAACAGTCATAAATTTTAAGGGGGGAGAATTTCACAGGGTAACAGCTAAGCCAGGACAGATGATAACTGCAGAGGGGTAGTGATGAAGACCCCATCCCCTCTGAGTCAGAGCTCTGCTTCTACAAGTTAGCAACCACAGCAGTCACAATGTTCATCAAGGAGTAAGCAAAGTTGGTCCATCTTGATGACCAAAACTACCTAATGCTTTCCAACTTTGGTATTCATTTTATTCCACTCTTCACTGATCTCAGCCCATAGGCCTCTGATCTTGCAGCTCCCAAAGAAGAAGCATTAGCTTTTTCCAACTTTCCCTGGTCCTCGGGGGTGGGCTGAGGGCCTGAGATATGGGAAGCCAAACTTGAATCTCAAGGTGGCTGCTAAAAGCCTCCACAGGGCTTATTCTCTGTAGGTCTTCTACTTGAGTATAGGATTCTAGATTCTAAGAGAAAGGCTGGAAATATGCCCAGCACGTTTCTTTTAAACCTAAATCCCATGACCAATGCAGCTTCTATCCATTTCCTCTTTTGTCATAAGAGGACTCTCTGTGATAGACAATGGGACTGCTGTGTTACTGAAACTGCCATGATCATTCCCATATCCCTAGTGTCTGGTCCAGTGTCTAGAACATGGTAGTCACTCTGTGAGTAGTAGTAGAGTGAATCAAGCTAACAGAAGATGGATTTGCTGTAGAGTTTAAGTCCCTGTCTTGGATAATTTTTTAGTCTCTGCCCAGTGTTTGAGCCTTGAGAATCCATGTCTTGGTGACTGAGCTGCTGTGCTGAGTAAATGAACCCAGGCTCATGTAAGGTGCCAATCTTTTATGTTTCTTTTTTTTTTAAGGTCCAGCATTTGAGCCCGAAACCTTACAGAACACAGAGCCAGGATTTCCTGGTCTCCAAGGAGAACGAGGTCCGAAAGGAAACCAAGGCCTCAAAGGAATAAAAGGTGATACTGTCCCCTTGGGTTTATTTGTTCTTCAAACTCCCTGAAAAAGGCTTTCTGGGGAATGAGCCAACAGCCTCATGTACCTGAACAGAAGCAATTCTTAATTTTGATTGAGGATTTTAGTATAGGATTGTTGGAAATGCTATAGTTGGGCTTCTAAGACTAAGGTTGGCAACTGAGATCACACAGGGCAGAGTGGCTCACAGGCTACTCTTTCTACCCCCTCTACCTGCGGAAACTATGCCAGCAGCCCAGGGTGTTAACTAGCACATGAATGAAAGGCTCTGAAAAGGTCAAGATCGGGTACTCTGAAAAAGCCAACTGGCTCCATAAAAACAATTTCAGCCACCACAGATGTTGAAGGACTAATTGATTACTCCAGCCTTCATCTGCTATCCTCTCTCCATCTTCTTGATGACTTTGGGTCATTCCTTTGTTTCATACTCTGAGGGGAGATGTGAAAGCTCAACTGAATCAATTCATTATCATTCCAGTCCAGGCCAGGGAGGTGGAAGAGATGAAACTACTGACTCAAGAGAGGTTTGGGGATTTCCTAGTGGTTTCAGGTGTATAAAGTCTTTTTTTTTTTTTTTTTCTCCCAAGTAATTCATTGTTTTCCTCAACCTCAAACAGAGAGGTTCCAACTTACTCCTCTCTTTTCTTATTGCCCTGTTATAAGATGTTACTACTTAAATATAGGAGCTAGTTCAGAAGTTTTTGAAAGATTTATCTCTAATGTTCATATCCAAGGAAGACTATTTGGGGAAGGGACATTAAATTGCAAGTCTTGACTTAGAATATTAACTTAGACCTTTCCCTGACTTACTACAAAGCTGGTGTACTTCTTGATGCCACTCTTACCCCTAAAAGAAGAGCAACTCTAATGCTTTTTTTTCCCTACATTTTTATGGGTCCAGAAGGTTTTCTCTAACAGTGGTAGTGATTCTAAACCTTCACTGTAGATGAGAATCACCTAGGGGAAATTACCAAAAGTTATATTATTCAGTCTGGCCTCCTAAGAGTCTAATATGGGCTGAGGCCCAGCAAGCTGCCTTATAAATAAGCATCACAGGTAACTTGTGCAGAAGGTTCATAAATCAGACTTGAAAAATGCTAATTTGGATAACAGACTGCTCTCTTAGAGTTTCAGGAATTATCACGTTTCTAAATGTAAGAAAACGCCCTTCAGGATTTTAAGGGAACTAAAGAGTTACCCATGTTGGCCCAGATTCTCATTTTACAGACTGTAAGTGTGGAAGGTATAGGTGGCTGGGCTATAGGGCTAATGACCCCTTGATACCTATTCAAAGGTACTTTGCTGAAATATTTAATAGTAATTTATTTGTCATTTATCTCTGTGTACAAAAGACAGAAGAAAAGACATTTTTGTGACAAGTGGCTTGGATTCCAGACTGTTAGCTGGTTAGTGTGGGTCAGTAGTTCTCAATTCTGCCTATACATTAGACTCATTGATAGGTCAGCCCCATTCCAGACTAATTAAATCTAAATCACTAGCGCAGATGTACTTTGATGAAGAGGGAACCTAGTTCATTTAAATCTGTTCACAGGCCTTTTGATTGATTCCATGGAGCTAAGTCACAAATTACCACTGTCAAGTCTTCCTTCTTTTTGGAAATATGGCTCATTTTGTTTAATGTTGTCTTTTATTTTCCCTCAGGGGACTCGGGATTTTGTGCTTGTGATGGTGGTATCTCCAACACTGGACCACCCGGGGAGCCAGGTCTGCCTGGGCCACCAGGTCACATAGGCCTTCCAGGACTTAAAGGATCCAGAGGAGATCCAGGCTCTAGAGGCACACAAGGCCCATCAGGGTCTCCAGTAAGTCTGGCCAAACTTTGGCACAGGAGGCACAATGAGGGCTCTCAAATGCCCCTCACTCCTCACCAATCACTTTCCTAACACATAAAAAGATGAGGATAAAACAAAGTCAGGTTTTTGATAGGTAATATGAAAAAGTCAGATAGATTATCTCTAAAGTTCCTTTCTGCTTTAACCTATCTATAATCCCTCCCATCCTCCCTCCCTTAATCTCTTTCTTCCTTCCATAACATTATTTGCATTTGCCTAGCACTGTGCTGGGCCCTGAAGATAAAATTGGAATTAAGACAAGGTTACCATCCTCAAAGATTTAAAAATTTAGAAAGGATAAGTAAATAAAGGCAATTATAATACAAGATGATGACATGATCAAGTGCCCAGAACAATGCCAAAAAGTATCCAAGGACCTTCTCTAGGCCAGACTAATGCTAAGTGCTAGAATTCTATGAATTCTGTATCTCCTGATCATTTCCTTTTGTCTTTTTGTCAGGGTTTGTTTGGGTCTCAAGGTCCTACAGGTCTCAAAGGCGAGAAAGGGGAATCAACGTCCAGTACAAGATCAGGGATGCCAGGGGAGCAGGGTGATCCTGGCCCCCAGGGACTCCCTGGTGAGACAGGAATACCAGGCAAGGACGGAATACCAGGTTTACTAGGCCTGCCAGGTGTTCCGGTAAGTTGATTGTTTCTGGGTAGTTAGCTTTATAAATCCTCGCACCGAACTAGGGGGAAAGGGAGCTTGATGGACACTTAACCATGAGACAGGGAAAAACATCTCTTCCTGCCTCTGCCACTGACACTTTGTGCTCCGTGTTTTTCTTTTCTGTAAAATGGAAATATTTTTCTCAGAATTGGTCATTGTCTCATTTGATAAATGCTAGTAACAATTGACCATACCACTTAAAAGGCTTCAGCTTATTAATAGCTTTCCCTTGAAAGTAATCCAGCTGCTTTTTGTGACCCCAAGCGTTGTTATGCTGCTCTTGTTTTCTGCCCTCTCCCTCACTGATCTAGAATATTTTGCATTATCAGATCACCAAGGATTGACAAGCTTCATCATCCCTAACTACCTAATTCATAAACTAGAGTGATAGAAAAAATGTATTAATCACACTGGTTACCTTGTTCTTATGGATAGAGGACTCTCCAGATAAGTTTCTAAACTGGACTTTCATTCTAGGGTGAGGCTGGACAGGGGTTCCCAGGTGAAAAGGGGTTCCCAGGGCTTCCTGGTGAAAAAGGTCACAGTGGTTCACCCGGCTTCCCAGGAATTGGGCTACCAGGACCTCCTGGACCTCGTGGAATTCCTGGAGACCAAGGAATAGGTGGATTACCAGGGAAACCAGGCCTCCCTGGGCCTCCAGGTAAGTCAGGGAATCAGATGGCTTTGGACTTGGAAAACTGACCCCTTGTAGAGTGTAGATCTGACCCAGCTGCATGAAATGTGTCATAAGAAGAGACTTGGCTGATTATGATCACTACTTTCAGTCCTCTTAAGGGTTTTCATGTGGAAAAAGTATTGGAATTGTACTGTGGTACACTTACACAGAAAAATATAGATTTCAGCTATACTTAGTGAAAAACTTCCTAACAGAGCAGTCTGAAAATGTAACAGAGCTGTCTTGTGAAGTTATGAGCTCATTATCCCTGAAAATTTTTGAGCAGAAGCTGAATGACCATTTATTATGAATGTCATTAAAGTAATGAGGGAGATACTGGACAAGGTGTCCTCTACATTGTATGATAAGATCATCATCAGGGAAGAATATTTCCTTAATTCATGAGATCTCAGATTGAAAAGTGAACATAATTCTATCTAGTCTAATCTCCATTTTATACCTTAAATTCCTCCCATTTATGTAAATTCTTTTTCTACTAGAATTTCAGGAAATATATGAGTGACAGCCCTGCTTATAGATTGTGAAGGTGCTATGCTAATATCCTGTCTTCTTCCATACAGCCAGAACAGCTCTTCATCTGAACTTCTATGTTTCCACAACTTTTGTGTTTCTATCAGTGGTATCACACTCCTTACAGTCATTTGAAGTTTGAAAACTTAAAATATTCTCTTATTCTTCATGTGGAATGTTTTATATTCTTCCCTTTCTCTTCTTGCTATTAAGATCTCATTATTTCATGCCTCACTTATAAAATACCTATATGCTTGTTGGAATAAATAAATGGTTGAAACGACAGGTAGATGGATGGATGGATGGATGGATGGATGGATGGATGGATGGATGGATGGATTAACAAGAAGGTGGATGGTTAGGTGAGTCAATGACAACTTTCTAAGTGGTTTCTCATCTCTACATCCAAACTTTCCCACTCAATACTACTATGAACACTGCCACCAATTTAATATCTGTAAAGTACTGATATTATCATCTTACCCCCTAGTCCAAAGCCATAAGTAACCTCTACTGAATAAGTAATGTCCAAATTCTTTTCTAGCCTTAACTTATCTCACACTCTTCATGATTAACAAAACAAACAAACAAAAAACACTTAAGACAACAGTAATTTTCACTGTCCTCAAACACATGTTCAATTCTAACTCTCAGATTTTGCCCATGTTGCCTTTTTCTGGAATGTCCTTCCTCTTTTCTCTATATAGTCAGATCCTATCAAAGTTCACTATAAGCCCCCCTTCTTCCACTAAGCCTTCCCTTGACCTCCACAGATGTCATTACCACTTAAATTATATATTTACTTCCATTAATGCTTTCACTTTTCCCAACTGCATTATAAGCCTCTAGATACCAGGGAAGGTGTGTAATACATTTTTAGCATTTTGCAACTTCCCTAGTATAGTGGAATGTTCTGTTCTGTAGGAGACTAATATATGCTTGCAAAAGAAAGGGTCTTCTCAATAACCAAGGGGTTATTTCTCAGACCTGTTTCTTCTCTTTCTACCTTGTCATTTTGAAGAAATACAAGAAAGGAGAAAGACACCAGGTCTTGGAAAATTTTATTTTAAAATTTAATTTTGTGAATTGGTATAAGCAGAATAATGGTACAGGTTAAAACTGATTATTCAAGATTATTAAAAACCACATCATTGTTTCAGTTCACAAATCCCTTTGAAAGCTGTGAGAAATTTTATCAAACAAAATCATTCCGCCTTTTGGAAGTCCTGGTGTCATCTATAGCTTTGCTTCTAAGTTATAGAAGTGATTCTAAGTTAACACATTTTGCAGGCAACTAGGTTTTAAACTGAGTTATAATAACATCATACTTATAAACTTACACACACAGAGATTTGAATATTCTCAATGTTCCAACTGCTTGAAAACAGACTGAGTCAACAGAAGGAAGCCCATGGGACCATTTATATCCCAAACTTCACAAGTTACTGGACACAGAAAGTTTTTAGGAATATAATGATATAATAAGTTATAGCCTATGAGATACGTTATACAGAAAATGTTCTTGTTGTAGAACAAGACTTACGCCCAAAATTATTTTTCTTTCCACATCATTTAAAAACATATGACTTGTGAGTCCTAAACATTTGCATTGTAGCTTTTGCCATGAAATATGAAGATATTTTTCCTAAATGTACTCACTTTAACCAGTGGTGGCCCAGGTTAGGACAGCTGCCTTGCCAGGAAAAAGAATGTAGTCATCAGAACCTTTCAACCTTGTAGTGTGAATTATTACAAACCCTAGGCTACCACACAATGGATTGTTTCCAAAGATGATCCAGATGCTCATGGTAATCCATCTCCCTGAATATTACTGAATTGGTTACTATGTCCTTGATCCTGTGATGGTACCAGCTCTCTCCACTTAATCCAGACAGGGAATTTGATTGGTGGGCATACCCAGGCTGCAGACAAGACTTCCCTTGAGCCTCAAGGAACTTCTGTCCTGGTTTAATTTTCTTCTTTACTTGATTGGTCTAGGTGACTGCTGTTGCAGGGAGAAGGTTGGTAAAGGAGACTTAGACACAGAGGGAGGTGAGAACTACCTAGGTCAGGAAGTTCTCAATCATCAATGTTAGAAAAAAAAATCTTCCTTTTTGTTCACTTTATCTCACATACTCACAATGGCCTGGGCACAACAATGAGCAGCCCCTGGTTGGGGAGGGGTGACCCTAAGACTGGGGTGCAAAGGCTAACATGACACTGCTTCAGAGGCTCCTTAGCACATGCCTTCTGGGAGGGGCAAGTAGGCATGCAGTCTCCAGTGGGGCTGATTTTCTTCACCATGCATGTTGATGGCTTTGGCATTCTCTACCTTGAGCACCTTCATTTTCTGATTTTAACTGGGGCTGTAACTTGCCTTGAGAAGCACCTTGAAGGATCTATGCATATCTGATATTTATTCTTTGGGCCCAGAGTAAACTAAGATGTTACAATCTTGGTAACCAGAGGTGCTTTCTATACTGAGAGGGAATATGGGCGTTAATGGGGAAAATTCTGAATAATTGGGTCATTTGTTACACTTATAAAACAGAACATGGGTAAAGCCAAGTTTTGCTTTGTTGGGGAAAGGCTCTGAATTCAGGGATGTAAAGTATAAGACAGGGATATAAAGTAAAATAGCCAGATACCAGTACAACTTAAAGTTCTTATCTTCTTACCATGTTGACCTTCTGCTTTGATACATAAATGTGGTATGGTGTGGTGTGGTGTACAGGACTGGTCCAAGGCAAAAGGGAAATATGTCTTTAATTTCCTCTGGCTTCCATTCATCTTACCTTTTATCATTATTTTTCCTACCCAGATACCTGTCTTCTGCCCCATCCTCTAAAGGTTTTGTTTTTATCTGTCTGTCACACGTGAAAAAATCTAAGAAACTGATCTAATAAATTAAGGATGATGGCTTGATGTTTGGAACCAACCCAGAGATACTTATATTTTACCATTTGCTTTTTAAGACATAAAGCAATGAGTCCGCCCAGTGTGGCTCACTGGTTGAGCATCAACCCATGCATCAAGAGGTCACCAGTTCGATTCCTGGCTAGGACACATGCCCAGATTGTGGGCCCGACCCCCAGTGGGAGGCATGTGGAAGGCGGCCATTCAATGTTCTCTCTCATCTGTGTTTCTATCTCTCTCTCCCTTTCACTTCCTCTCTCTCTAAAATCAATAAAGGAAAAACAAATTAAAAAGACATAAAGCAGTGAAACTGCAGTGTTTGACATATTGAGATCAATAGGTTATTGAAATTGTTGGGGCAAGAGAGTCTTTTGCAAGGTCCCTCTCATGACACCATCATAAAGAGGAAGTTTTTCAGCCTAGTCCAAAGGACTCAGGCTTGAGCCAAGACTAGGATTGGCATGTCATCCTGAGGTGCTCGCATATTTCCATCATAGGGAAATAACTTTCAGAAATAGTTCTATCATCTCAATGTCTGGCAGGATGGAGATGGGTGTGGCCACTTATGGAGGAAAATCATGCCTATGACCACCGCTCCACCTATGGAAATATGACTATAGGAACCTGAGGTCTAGAAGGGAGAAAGTTGATACCCAGGTTAGAAAGTAGTGTCACTAACCTGACTGAGGTAGAAACCAGGAGGTCTTCTAAATATGTCTCCTTAAGTAAGATAATAAAAAAAATATTATTCACTGGGCACATACCAGGATTCCAGGCACTGTGCTAAGTGCTGTTAGCATTATTTCATATAATCTTCCATATGTTTGTTCCACAAACACCATATGAGATAAGTAGCTCTCATGTACATGAGGCTCAGAGGGGTTAAGTATCTTGCCCAAACAAATAGTTAGTATCACAAATAGGATACAAACTTAGGTCTGTCTGGCTTCAGAGCCTACCTCTTAAGCCAATATATTATGCTGTTTGATTTCCAATTTTGATTTACAAATAGAGCAATTAGGGTAAAAATGCCATCAAGCCTTCATAGTAGAAAATAGAAGTGGGTTTGAAGGAGAAATGCCAGCCAGTTGAGTAAGCAGTTTGAATCATAGGTTGTATATATATCTTTTAAGAAATGGCAATGTGAGATTGATTTTAAGTACAGGCAAAAGCTGTAGCAGTTTATTACAACTGTTGGCTCCATGGCCTAAAGTAGACCTTAGAGGATTATTTTAATGAATAGGCAAAATTAAGTTTAATTAGCATAGCAATTGTTTGTAAATGGAACTTGAGGAAGCCAACACACAATTTGTTCACCAATACTTTATTAAAGTTCCCCTGTGTGATCTTATAGACTCTTCATATTTGCATTATGAATGAGCAATGAAGAATTTGCTAGAAGAAGGGCTATGCATACCAACTTTAATGTCTTAAATATTAATATTGACTGCCCCTTCTCCCTGAGTAGCAAGAGTTGGAAGTTTTAAATGAAGAGCTGAGGGAAGGGTCATTGTTTGTCTATTGTGGGCAAGAAAATGGCCTTTAATGTTTACCTGGTACAAGTCTATATGTACATCTGACCAAGGAAAGTCAATAGATTTCAACAGATCCCAAATGAGTTGTGTGAAAAGAATCTGATGGTTTGGGGAAAGCCTCATTCCAAAAAAATGGGCAGACATGTGAACTTAAGGGTCTTGGCTTCAAACCCTTGTCATGTGGGCATAATGCACCCTTAGGACTAATCCCAAGCTCCCATCCTAGGGAGAGGCTTCATCTGAGGGCATGGTGAGCAGACCATTGCCATTCGTTGCTGTTCCTGCACAGGCCACTTCTAGAAAAATCTTTATAGATAACATCTGCTGCAGAGCTGACTGCCTGGCACTGGACACTGATGGTTTGGGAAGTGACATCCTAACACTTGGACACTAGGGGCATTCTTATCTGCAAGCAATGCACTAGGGGTAACTCCCCAGAGTTTCTGATGCCAGAATTCTTCTGCATGGGCTCAAGTTTCTGGGTGGGAAGAACTAGGTTGTCCCATTTGATAGAATGGGAGTAAAGAAGCATGCTGGGGGGAAATCATTCCTGACTTAGTGGGATCACCAGATGTTAACCTGTTACCCTTTACAGGTATCACCTTGCCTTGTATTATTCCTGGTTCGTATGGTCCATCAGGATTCCCTGGAGCTCCCGGATTCCCAGGTATGGAATTAAGCCAAGGAAAACCACTGAGCACAATTATCAGGGTCATGAGCCAAAGGAAGCAGAGTATAGCCTGGTAGCATTTGGGGGTCTACATTTCTCCTAAGAGGGCAGCCTTGAGGACTGAGAACATAGAATGGCTGCTGGAGAGTACTGTGTGGGGAGGTGAGATTAAGAGATGCCTTTTAAGAAACTGGGATTCTTGACTAAACACCACAAATCCTACCTAGCTACACTGACTCACCTTTCCCTTCACCACTCACATTTGGGTTTTCAGGCCCTAAAGGGGCCCGTGGCCTCCCTGGGACTCCAGGTCAGCCTGGATCGCGTGGAAATAAAGGAGAATCTGGAAGTCCAGGATCATTTCACCTCCCTGAATTGCCAGGTAAGAAAGGAAGCTTCTCTTTTGTGTGAGTATGTGTGTTTGGATTATAGTAGCCATCCTCCAGTTGTAGAAAGTTAGGTTTGCATTCTGGTGTGGTTAGGATGGTTTTGATTTCATATTCAGGCAAGATAGCTTAGAGCTACAAAATGACAGCACATCAGGGCAATAAGGGCCATTTGAGATCAGCTAGGACAAGATAAAGAAACTGTGATTACAAAGCTACTAGTGACAGAGCTAGGATTGTAAGTTTGGCTGCTAGGCCTAAGGCAGTTTCCTGGATGAACTCCTTAAAGGTTAGAGAAAGAGATTCAGATGAGTCCGAGGGAAGTTTTCCATTTCTACCCCCTTGTTTGCAACCTGCTATTTCAATCTGAGCATCAATGTTCTATATCACACCAGTGGTTCTCAAACTGTGTTCCCTGGGCCAGCAGCATCAGCATTACCTGGAAACTTGATAGTAATGCAGATTCTTGGCCCCTTGGCAGAGCTACTGTTCAGAAGCTCTGGGGTGTGCCCAGCAATCTGGGTTTTACCAAGTACCCCTGCTCTAGGTGACTCAGTTTAAGAACCACCTCTGCTGTAAAGGTCACATGGTACAATCCCTGCCTCTGGGCAGGTCCTCCCAGGACCAGAGACTCCTGACCTTCAAGAGAAGTGTGAGATACATTATTATTATTATTAAAGATGTTTCTTTTTTATTATTGAGGCATAATTGACATATAACATTAGATTAGTTTCTGGTGTACAACAAAATGATTCAATATTTGGATATATTGTGAAATGATCACCACAATAAATCTAGTTACTATCTGTCACCACACGTAGTTACAGAATTTTTTTGTTGTGATGAGAACTTTTAATACAGCAACTTTCAAATATTATAGTATTAACTATAGTCACCATGCTATATATCACATCATGACTTTTTTATTTTGTAACTGGAAGTTTGTACCTTTTGACCTCCTTCACCCATTTCCTACATCCCTTAACCCCTACTTCTGGCAACTACCAATCTGATCTCTGTATCTATAAGCTTGTGTGTGTGTGTGTGTGTGTGTGTGTGTGTGTGTGTGTGTGTGTTAACTTGATTTGTTCGTTGGCTTTGTTTTTATAAATTCATGACACCCATTATTCATATGTTCACTTTCATGGTAGAAAGTAGTCAGTCTCAGAGGCTTCTGCCCCAGTTTATGGCTTCTAAATCTCCGTGGCCTTTTATTTTTGCTTTTTTACATTTAGGATTTCCTGGACCTCGTGGGGAGAAGGGCTTGCCTGGGTTTCCTGGGCTCCCTGGAAAAGATGGCTTGCCTGGAAAAGTTGGCAATCCAGGTTTACCAGGTTCCAAGGGAGCCCCTGGTGACATCTTTGGTGCTGAAAATGGTGCTCCGGGGGAGCAAGGTCTACAGGGATTGCCAGGGGACAGAGGATTTCCTGGAGACTCTGGCCTTCCAGGACCCAAGGGTGATTCTTCTTGCCCCACTTAATTAACAATCGACAGAAAGCCTTCCTGTAACTTGTATACCTGCATGAACATTTGCATGAATCTGAGGCCATGAGTTAATGAGGGGATTAAAATGAAAAACCACTTTGTTCTGTCCTTCTCTTTTGGGAACGTTTTTCTTAAATTGACTGAGTTAATTCTCCTGTCTTAGTAATTCCAGAAGTAACCATAACCAATAGTCAGATCTCTTGCAAAGCTTCTGATTAGCTGCTGGGAATAGCAGCAAGGCTGGAACTGAGAATACAGTGACACTTGGGATGCTTCTGGGACAAGGTTTTACGCTTGCAGTTGGTTTGGTGGTGAGTACCTGACATCACAGATCCAGTCTATGATCATCTGCCCCTTTCTTTTATTAGGTTCGTCTGGGAAGTCGGGCTTGCTAGGTCCCAAAGGTGAGCAGGGCAGCCCTGGAACACCAGGCCACATGGGACAGCCAGGCACCCTGGGGACTGTTGGTTTACCCAGCATCAAGGGCAAGCCAGGGCTGCCAGGAGCACCAGGCTTTCCAGGAATTCCAGGTAGGTCCTTTGGAGATAGAGCCCCAGGTTGTCAGACTTAAGCTAGGCTCTAGACCCCGGTACCCTGAGGGGCAATAGCAGCAGTGTGACATGGTTAGAGTTGAGAAGGAGACCACTTTCCTAACCTCTCAAGTTTCAAATCTCAAGTTATACTCGAATGCCAAGCAGAACAGATTTCTGCAGTTTAGCTTCCAAAATATTACCACAAATCCCACCCCATTTCTGCCCCCATGACCTCCCTCCCCCTTTTCATGCTTCAGCCTCCCTTCTGCCTTCCCCAGTTAGAGCAGCCACCCCTGCAGTGGAGGGGTTCTAGCCATCTCCATTGCCTTCACTGGGGCCATGGGGACCCATTTGGGTTGGGGAGAAGCTAGAGCAGAGTGTGACTGTGTGGTGGTCTCCCTCTCAGGGCAGCATCTCTGAGGACCATGGCCAAAGTGTCTCTCTCTAGACAGTGGGGCCTGACACCCCTTTGTTCCAGCCTAGTGTTTGCAGCTTGCCTTCTTCTTGCACCACCCTCCCCACCCTGCCTCAGTGACTATATCATCCCTCTTTACTCCTGTCCAAGTGACTGAAGCCAAGTTATTTACAGAGCCACTAATAGTCTATTTATCTCCTTTGTCCTTCTGGGTTTCTGGGGTCTTCACTTAGACTGTCCAGGTGATAAAATGGCACACAAGCTCACAGACTAACCTCCCCACTGACATTGCTTTGCACTCAGGGAAATTTCTTACTATACACTCTAACCTGGCAAAGCCAGTAGTTCCTGAACTCATGCTGTGGGGTCGGACCCCATTGAATTTCCTTCTCTTGTTATGGCATCCCCTTCACAGCCTCCCATTAGAATCCTGGGGCTTTCAGCTACTTTATGCTTATCAATCCATAGAAAACCAAGTCAGCCATTCATTTAGGTCCTCAGGGGCCCAAATACCTCTGTCGTCACTGATTTAATCCTTTGGTTTTTTTAATTTCCTTGCTTTGTACCTGAACATTCACTTTGGCAGCAGCTCGGGAGGTTAATCCCATTGACCAATTTAAAACATGGTGAAAGAAGTATTCCTCTCTGAATGCCTAGGAGACCAAATAGGCCTTAGGGATTTCTACAGTACTTGGCACTAGGGGGTCTTTCAACCTTAATGCCAAGGAACTGGCTGATTTAACTGCTTGCATGAGGGATTAAAAGGGCAACCCTGTATCCATGGCTCCCTAGGAAGCTGAAACAATGGCTCAGCTTTAACCTCTACTTCACCGATTGGCTCAGGAAACAGCCACTGTGGAGTAATTCAGACTGGAAGTTCCAAGAAATTAGAATGCATTTGCCACCCTGGCTTTCCAGAGCTCCTTTCAGAGGCTAAAGTTTGAACCATTTTCATAAAGGGGGAGGAAGTTATAATCGGAAGGGGTTTGTGTGCCCTGCCAGCTACTGTGCCATGCTGGAAAAAATAGCCATAGGTTTGGCAATCTGGGTAGTAGGTGCTAATGCTTCAGCCAACTAAGAACACTGTCTGTTAGCAGCCTGAATAGGCTATTGCTAAAGGGCCATTTACTAAAAAACAAACAAACAAACAAACAAACAAAAAACAAACAAACAAAAAAAAGAAGCTATGGAATGGGCAGTGGCCAAGATCTGAACAATCTCCATGGCTGTCCTGTGTTCTTTCCTGTGTGATTCAGGACATCCTGGAAAGAAAGGTCCGAAAGGTGAAGCAGGCTCCCCTGCATCAACTGGAAAGAGCGGTCTGCCTGGGCTGAAAGGCCTTCCTGGATCTCCAGGGTTAATTGGCTCCCTGGGGAACTCAGGGTTGCCAGGGGACACTGGGCTGCCAGGGCTGCCAGGTCTGAAGGGTAAGTGAAGTGATCAGGAAGGCACACTGGGTGCCACAAAGGAGAATCCATGCTGCCCAGCTTGCCCCTTTCTCTCTGCCTAGGAAAGGGGGATAAGGAGGGAGGTGGGCAGGGCTTTTTGTGACAAGATAGTTATACAAAGCTGGTTCTAAGAGTCACACTCACTGCCTGCTGGGTGGAACACTGGCCTGAACGGCATGATGAGTAAATCTCAAGATAGCTGTAGCCACACTGGGTTTACTCATTTGTGCTACCCCTATCACAGAGTCTGATAGTTCTCACTTTCTGTGATTGTCCTGCTAGACACCAGATGTTGGGTGGGAGGCATTTCCATTTTGTTATTGTTGTTGTTGTTAATCCTCACCTGAGGATATTTTTCCATTGATTTTTAGATAGAGTGGAAGGGAGGAAGTGGGGGAGGAAGGGAGAGAGAGAGAGAGAGAAATTGATGTGAGAGATACATATCGATTGGTTGCTTCCTGCAGGACCCTGACTGGGGTCGGGATTGAACCTGCAACCCAGGTATGTGCTCTTGACTGGGAATTGAACCTGCGACCCTTCAGTCTGTGGGCCAATGCTATAACTGCTAAGCCAAACCGGCCAGGGCAGCATTTTCATTTTATACAGAGGGAAGCAACTTGTTTAAGGTCACACAGCTGGTTAATAATAGCACCAGACTAGAGCTCATCTCCCTGCCTCCTGGCCCTGCGCTTTTTCTTTTTGTGCCACACATGAGCTCTGTTTTGACAAATCATAAAACAGGTGCCCACATCTTCTTTCCTTTTTGTTGCTTAGTGTCATGTCCCTGTTCAGGGAAATGGTATGTGTAATAACTAAGCTTTGGCTTTAGAGTTAGAGAAACCTGGGTTTGAATGCCTTCTCTGCAACTTCCTAGCTGTGTGACTTCAGGTAAGTTAGTTAACCTCTCTGAGCTTTGTTTTCTTTGTATGTAAAGCAGGCATAATAATAGAAGTTCTTGTTTCTCAACAGGTGAGAAGGGGTCTGTTGGACTGAAAGGTTTTCCAGGGTTGCCAGGTCTCCCTGGTATTCCTGGTACAAGTGGATTAAAGGGAATTCCTGGGTCGGCTGGAAAAGTGGGACCACCTGGACAGGCAGGGAGTCCTGGTGAAAAAGGTGAGCTGAGGTACTAAATTCTGGAATTTCCATTCATGCTTCCCAAGGTACATTTTGTTTGTTGACTTTGTCATTCATGTGGCTTGTACCAATCATGTGTTAGACAACAAGATTTAGGGCCTGTGAATGAAATCCTTTTAAACCAAAAGACCTAATTTCTTCAGTTACCACTGTATGTTAGAGGCCTTATCATGTATTCTCAGATGCTCAGCAGAGGACAGTTTTGAGTACGGTCTAAAGTTGCTTGTTGAGTTTGGGTTTACTGAAATATAGAGCATGCACATAAAGGCAAAGTTGGGGGAAAAGGGGCATGAAAGAATCTGGAAAGGCTCAGAAAGGGGGTCTGGGGGTGGTACAAGGAAGAATTTGATATGAGCCAAGCTGATGTGGCTCAGTGGATTGAGAATCATCCCATGGACTGAGAGGTCCCAGTTCGATTCCTGGTCCAGGCACATGCCCAGGATTGCCGGCTGGATCCCCAGTAGGGGGCATGCAGGAGGCAGCCAATTGATGTTTCTCTCTCACAATGATGTTTCTATCTCTCCGTCCCTTCTTTTCTCTCTAAAAAGAAATCAATAACAAAAAGAGTTTGATATGAAAGGTCAACTCATGCCTGACACCATGTCTAAGCTCTCTCTCACACTGATCTTATGATCTCCATCCCTGCAGGAGACAGAGGCAACCCGGGGCCTGTCGGAATTCCCAGTCTAAGACTTCCGATGTTGAACCTCCAGTTCAAAGGAGACAAAGGCTCTCGAGGCTCACCTGGATTGGATGGATTTCCTGGACCCAGAGGTGCTGGGGCAGGGAATAGGCAGAAGAAATGCCCAAGAAAGGTTTTAGAACAAAACTTGAATCCCTTCCTGAGTAAAGGCCCCACACTACAAGGTCCCCCAGAGTGTCACAGTGGGTGGTGGCAGGGGATCCAGAGAGGCTGCCTTCCCTGAGCCTGAGGGGCACCTGGACTTTGAGACTGTCGGTTTTCACTGTCACTGTTTAACTGAGTTTTTGAACCACAGACTGTTGTATCCCTGGAGGAGCCTGGCAGATGGTGGGACATGGACATTTAGCAGTTTGCCCAGTGCAGAAGCTGGGATGGCCCTGACCAGTGCCCCACAGGCTGAAGGCACCACCCCACCTCCACCTCTACCCCCATGCTAACTGTCCCCAAGCTGTACTTTGCCTGCCTACAACTCAGGTCACCTGCACCTTGGGAAGCAGATTTCTGTTGCCCAGAGTCTTTTTCCAAGCTGTTTGCTTCTTTCCCAGGTAAGAAAGGAGAGGCTGGCCTCCATGGGCCACCAGGCTTGCCTGGAGCTCCTGGATTCCCCAGTACCATCAAAGGACTTGTTGGGAGACCGGGCTCCCCTGGCTCCACAGGGCTACGGGGCTTACCCGGCATGAAAGGCTCCTCTGGAATCTCCGGCTTCCCAGGAACACCAGGAGAAAGTGTATGTGTGCACAGATTTTTGTCACCCCACCAGGAAGGTCCTCTATTAGCAAAGGGATATGTCCCCATGGCCCACCATTTTGATCCTGGCCCCTTCCCCAGCTCACCCTAGACAAAGCCTCCTCCTTGAGTCTGACAGATCATTCTGTCCTTTCCTGAACACCCATCTTCTGGGCCTTTGTTCATACTGTCTTCCCCATGTGGCAGACTTTCTCTTCTGCAATCACCTAATACCTATCCATCCTTCACTTCAGGCCCCAGCCAGGTGCCCACTTCTTCAGAATTCCCTGATCTTCCCCCATGCTGGCACACTGTCCTTCTCATTACTTATATCCATCCTAATTGGTCCTGTGTGGGTCTGATTTTCTCAATAAGATTGTTAGGACTTGAGAACAAGAATGGCCTTACATGCTTTTTTGTCTGCACCCAACTGTCAGCATCCCACACTGAGTTTAACACATCATAAGCATTCGGTACAGACTTCTTGATGTTTTGATTTTAGAAAGGTCTTTGTTGCCTCCACAAAAGACAACTGGCAAAGAATAATATCCAGTTTCTTTGGGTTCTTAAAAGGCAGAATGGTAGAGTAGGCTTAACAATGAGAGAGACTTGAGTTTGAATCTTTGCTCCATCACTCACTAGCTCTGTGATTTTGTGCATATTGCTTAACTTGCCCAAGACTCACTTTTCTCATCTTTAAGAAATAGGAATAATATTCAAACCTCCTTCAGACAGAAGTGAAGATTGAGTGGGATGGTACATGTAAAGCACTTTGCATTTCATCTGGTCCATGGCAGGCTCTGAATAAATAGTAGCAATTATAGGAGTAGAATTGAAGGGACTAAATGAACTGGATTACAAAACAGCCATGCTCCCTGCAGGCAAAGTCCCTGTCCTTTAAAAGTGTCAGTTTATCTGATGGAGAGAAAACACACACACACACACACACACACACACATGTACACGCACACCACTAAAGCAATTGTGAAAGAAATAGTTTTCAATTGGATGGTCCCGACTACTCAAACACCGGGAGGGATGAAATCAAAGTGGAAAGCATTCTGGGAGGAGTCTGAGCATGAATGAAGGCTAGAATTAGTAGATATGGCAATGTGCAGAAAAAGCCAGGCAAATGGAGGGGATGTCCTGGGTAGTAGTTTAGTGAACACAGTGACCCAGTCCAAAACTCAGATTCTACTCAAGGCACTAGGTAGCATATGTCTTTAGTGGGTACATCTCAGAATGAATAAAAACCATACCAGATACCAGTGCCATATTGGTAACATGCCCACTTCCTATATTCAGAGAATGTTTGAGATATTGGCTAATGAAGCAGTTTTTTTCCTGTGAAAATGTAACATTGGCCCAAATTCAGACTCCAGAATCTGCAAACATACAGCCTATTACCTGGTGACAGAAAGACACTGCATTCCCTGCCAAACCTGTGGCAGAGGGCTAGCCCCACATAGTGAAGCAACACTTCTTGTGTTTAATGGCTCCAGAGCTTTGGCATGGGCAGTGCTAGCCAACCAGCTGCAGAGCACATCTAGTGCCTGGCCTGACTGCCACGTTCTGTATTTTCTAAGAGACTAGCTAAAACACCTTGATTTCCCAAGATTCCAATTTTAATAGGCATTAGGAAGTTATGAATGATAAGACCAAGATTAATTACAGATCAAATCCCTCTCCTAGAAACAAAACAAAAACAAAAACCCAAGGATGCATTTTCATTCACTGCTCATCACTTTCCCTCTGCAAGATGTCAGTTCTCCCCTCTCCCAGTCCACTTCTGCCACAGAGAACATGATAGACATCTCTTAGGCAGTGGCTCAGGGAGGGGCGGGGCTGTGAGAGTGGGAAGCCCTGAGCTCTGGGCAGAAGTAATGATTCCCATATTGCTTTGAAGGGGTTGCAGGGTCTCCATGGAGCTCTTGGTCCCCCAGGAGCATCTGGCATCCCAGGTTCAAAAGGTAAGGAATATTTTCTTGTTTAATATGTTTTTTTTCCCAGAGCAATGTGAATTTCTGGTAGGCCCAGGGCTCTCCTGGTTAAGGGGAGGATTCTGTGTTTAAGGGAAAGTGAGTTGATTTACGGTTCCCCTTAGGCCAGACCCCCTTTGCAGTCTTTGTTCCTCAAAGACATGCAACAAATGGTGATTTGATAATTCCGTGGTTCATTCAATCTTCCTGCCTTGCAGACACAGCGGCAGAGGGGAACCTTGTCTCTAGAGGGTCTCTTTCCCTGCTGAACCCAGTCCACTGAGCAAGAAAAATTCCCATCCATCATTGCTCCATTCTGGTTATGTTTTAGAGCCCCTTCCATTATCTTCTCTGCCCCTACTTGCCTAGTAATGTATTTCTCTATGGAGATATGCTGCATGTAGAAGCATTTCATGCCAATAGCCTGGTAGCATCTCAACCCTTTGTTGATGATTGGTCACTTTTTACCAAATGAGTAATTTTGTCAAGGAACTCTTCTGGCTATACTGAATCTGGGAAGATTTTTGCCTTCAAAAGACATCCTTGCCCGGCCAGTGTGGCTCAGTGGTTGAGCATCAACCCATGCACCAAGAGGTCACCAGTTCAATTCCTAATCCAGGCACATGCCCATGTTGTGGGCTCAACCCCAGTGGGGGTCATGCAGCGGGTGGCCAATCTATGTTCTCTTTCACCGATGTTTCTTTCTCTCTCCCTTTCCCTTCCTCTCTCTATAAAATCAATAAAGAAAAATACTTTTTTAAAAGACCTCCTTATGACAAAATGAGCTATAGCTTCTCCTGACCATTTGAACAATGTATTGATATCCCCAGGAGACCACGGCCAGACACCTGGACTTCCTGGTAGCCCAGGACCAAAGGGACAACCTGGGGAACCCGGCTTGAAAGGTAAGGTTGCTGTACTTTTGTCTCATGTCTCACAGACTCCTCAAAACTGAGGATTAGAAGGAATTTTCGAGGTCAACTCCAAGTTCTGCAACTTCTATCCAGTGCAGAAAAACTCCTACCTGACATGTGTATGCTCATAGGCAGCACACAGTTTTCTTCAAGCAAACCAGCCTCCTCTTTTGTCAAGATTTGTAGCTTTATATCTGTGAAATAATTATATCCACCCCTTTAGTTTATAGTTATCTAAACTTGTTCTCAAACATTTCCACCCATTGCTTCTATATCTGGGGACACTCAGAATAAGTTTACTTACTTTTCAATTGAGTAGCACCTTTCAAATGTGAAGATGGCTGCCATGATCCTTTTCAAAGTGTCTTCATTGAATCTAACAACCACGACAGTTCAAGTGGCTTCACCTTCCTGCTCTCCCTCCAAAAAGAAGGAACACACTGCCCAAAATGTGACCTGATTACTCAGCATTTTTCTTGATTTTTAGGCATGAAAGGAAAAGCTGGACCAATTGGTGATACAGGTTTTCCTGGAATTAAAGGAGACGATGGGGAAGTTGGTATTCCTGGAGATGTTGGCCTTCCTGGCTCCCCAGGTACCATGCCACATGACAACTTTATTCTAAAAAAGTTAGGATTACCTTCAAGGCATGACCCATTCTGAACTTCTACCTTGGTTCACTTTTAGGATTTCCTGGGATGGCAGGCATGAGAGGAAATCCAGGGCTTCCAGGTTCTCCAGGCCACCCAGGGTCACCTGGACCCCTGGGGCCACCTGGCCTAATAGGAAGTAAAGGTATGTGTATTTTGGAGAAGACAGTAGGGTAACAGGCCCTTCCCTCAAAAAAGGACAGCAACTATTTTATATTAGGAGACACTAGCTGGGGTTAAGTCATATTCAAGAGAGTCATTGACTGGGCCACATGAGGGATAATGGGAAAGGAGGACGGAGAGGAAGAAAGGAGGGCAACCATAAATGGGAACAGGAGAACATAGAATTAATGAAGAGAAGACTTATCAAGGAGGGCATATAAAAGCTTTTCCCTGACGTAGAGATTGGGCAGCGAGTCTCTGGGAGCTGGCAACTCAAGGTATTGGCATTTGCTACTCTGAGTTCTTGAAGAAACCTAAGTAACTATCACCCTGTTCTTAAAGCTATATTGGTTTCTAATAAGAGTCAAAAAATCCTAGGGTGGAGTGTATAGGTTAAGGGTGGTCTAGTCTCCCTTAGGGAGACTCAAGAAAGACCATGATCTTTAAAATGAGGACTTGGCAGTGCCCTTAGGGACAGGACCTCTTGTTGACCCTGCATGACTTAGAGTTGCTAAAGCCATTTCTGATATTCTCTCCCCTTAGGTTATCCTGGAGTTCTTGGTTTGCATGGATTAAATGGGCTTCCAGGAACCAAGGGTACTCCTGGAGCTCCAGGTAAGGAGGACCCTCAAGGGCAAGGAGGAGAGCACCAGCTCTAACAGAAGCCTGGCAGAGGCTGGCCATGAATTCTTGACTGTAGTATATCCCAAATCCCTGGACTCATGGGTCTCTTTGCCAGCCCCCAATTTTGGCTGCCTTGATATGGGAGGGGGGGGAGATAGGGTTTGTCCTTCTACTTGAATGAGGTCTCCTCCCTCTTATTTCAGGCAGGTCCCCCAATAAGTAAGTTAGGCATGAGGACCTCACCCCCCACTGAGTTCTGTCCCTTCCCTTTCTCTCTGCATCTCTTCCTAGGACCCAGTATAACTGGTGTGCCAGGGCCAGCTGGCTTGCCTGGTCCCAAAGGAGAAAAAGGTTCTCCAGGAATTGGCACTGGAGCCCCAGGCAAGCCAGGCGTGAAAGGACAAAAAGGTGGCCGAGGTAAGTGACCCCAAGTCAAGCCTTGTAGAGCTGAGTGAGGGCTGCCTAGGGAGCCAGGTTTGGAGTTTGCAGCTCACAGGGTTGAGCTGTGCATGTTTTCACATCCCTGGGAATTTCAGAACCCAGTGGAACAGACTGCTGAGGAAAAGAGAGTAGGCATGTCTAGGGCTTTCCTGGGAAGGGGTGTTAGGGAGAAGTTCAGAGAGTCCCCTCTAGCCTCCAGATTGCCTCCCACTCTTCCTTATTTAAACTCAGGGCCTTCTTTGCACACTTGGCCAGAGCCTGGGTTTAATGGTCCTGAGGGACAGAGCTTGACCACTTAGCGGTTTGTAGAAAATTCCTCAGTGTCCAGTGTGGATGGCACTCCCAGTGGCCTGGGAAGACAGTGTGGCTGCTGGAAGAGGTCCAAGGCTAAGAAGATAAATGTCTCCCTATGCCAGGCACACAGTAGGCACTCAATTAGGATTTGTTACCTTTACTAAAAGACAGGTTTCCCTTTAATCTCGGTCCCTGACTCACACACTGTCTGAAGTCCCTTTCCTCACCTGCCAGTGAGAGTGAATTATGATTAGTGTACTCTCCTTAGGAATGTTCTGAAGACCCATATATACCCCATTCAGTTTAAAACAGGAAACGAGCCCTGGCCAGTTTGGCTCAGTGGTTAGAGTGTCAGTCACTAAATTAATTTCCTTTTTTTTTTTTTTTGGTATGCGCCCCTAGTGGGAACTGAACCTGGGACTCTCTGGTCCACAGGCCAACACTCCAACCACTGAGCCAAACGGCCAGGGCAAATTGTTAATTTCCTTTAGCTATCTGAGGTAATAAAATCACGATAACAAGTGCAGCAAACAGCACATGTCAAGATGGATACATTTCAGGAGCATAATGTTGAGAGAGAGAAAAAGCAAGTGTACGAGGAATGCATTTGGTATGATCCCATTGCTAAATATTCATAAATAAGCAAAAACAACCAAAATATTGTTTAGGATACAAACATGCGTGGTCAAATTGTTTTGAAAAGGGAACAATGAACACAAAATTCAGAAGTGGGTGCCTCTGAGAGGGAGGGAAGTTGGTGGGATCTTTAAGGACATGCAGTGGTAATGCTATCTTCTCTTTCTTAAATAATTGGGGGGCTGGAACAGATGTTCATTATATCTGGATTATTTTTTACATATGATTTCTAAATATTCCCTCTTTTCTCTCTGGTCCATGGGCCAACGCTCTAACCGCTGAGCCAAACAGGCCAGGGCTCTTTTCTCTAATTTAATATCTAATGTAAAAAGTTTGCTTTAAAAACAAATATTACACCCCCCCCCATAGGAACTTATATCTGATTTGATCATAGAAATCAGTGTAAAATGAGTATTTACCCCTAAGGAAACTTCCTATAGCAATCCCTGACCGTATAATACCTTTATATAAATAACTTCAAATTATACCATTCATTTTTTAAAGTTATACGAAATATTTTGAGGCTGACTTCGTATATTTAAGGTTTTTTAATGCTCTGACACTGGAATGAGTTGGAAAAATGCCATCTTGTGTTTTCATATGCTCATTTAAAGTGTCTTATTTTTAAAGAAATACAAGAAGTATTTTTTGTTGTTCGTTTTTTTACTACTTCAGGTCAGTAGTACTTTATTTCAGATTTAGTGGTAAATTGGTGTAATTATAAAATAAAGAAACAGGTAAAAAGAAGAGGTGGCTCCAAAAACTGAAATGGAATTTTTATAATCCATATGCTGCCCACACGTACTCTACTATATATAGTGTCTCATTTACTAGTTTTGTATAATTTCAGATATATTTTTTCAGAAAAAAAAACCAATATTTCTTTCTTTTCAGATTTTTACTTTTGTGAAAATGAAAATAACTTCAAAGGTTTATCAAGAAACAGCTGACAATATTAAAATTAGTACCATATGGCCTTGCAACTGGTGGTTCTTTGTATTTTTATTTTCTTTTTCAGACCTGTAATTAGAGACTTCTTGAAATTTATTTTTTCTTTCTCTATATTTCCTCAGCATTCAATTCATTACTGAGCTATTAAAACACCTGAATTAACCAGTCTATCATCTTTCTTTACAAGTTTTCATGGATATACTTTTACTATTTCTTACCTAAACATGAGAAATTCAGCATTACTATAGTCAGCTTGTCAAAAAATAAAATGCAACCAATATCTTGGAATTTTCTTGTTATAAACAAAAAATAAGAATCTCAACCACCAGAATAGTTTATCATCCAGTTTGAATCTATTTCTCTTCATTTGAATATCTTCTAGAATATACCAAAGTAATAAGCACATTTCTTTCATTCTAAAAGTATAATATGAACTTCTACATTTCTATATATGATGTGTTTTTTCATCAAGAGTACCATCTACATATTCAATGTGTGCATATTAAATAAATCTTCTGTCATCAGTTGAATTTCTTTTTTGTTTGGAATATAGTATAATAAAATAATTCCATAAACAGAAAATTTGTAAGTCAGTATTAAAATTTAGCAAACAAGTATTCTGTATCTACCCTAATGCATGACTATTCTCTTTGGCCAAAAAGAGGAAAGGGATTTACTACAGAGAAATTTGTTCTCTAAGCTTAATTAAGCAAGCATTCAGCTAATATCATGGATTACCTATAAAAGTGTTTTCCAGTTTGCCTGGAAGACCTAGAAGTTAGTTCTAGAAGACATTAGAAGGCACAGTGCCATGGGCACCTCCTTTTTGACCCAGCAGGTGTCTATTCTGACTGGTTGAGCACTGTGCTCCACCTTGATCTGTAACCTTTTCTGAATAACATCAGACATAACTGGCTAACTTAATGAAATGTGTGACAAAAACAGTAGATTTAAAAACACTTTGGGAAACTTCAATTCCAGGTGCTACAGTCATGCCTTTTTTCCCCCCTGATTTTGGGGAAATCTAAAATATTTCCATTACCAGTGAGGTTGGGGAGCTAGAAATTTCCAAAGCTTTATTGAAATTAAATGCAGCAGTTGCTGGGTGCAGGCAGTCTCTGAACCCTGTCAGCTACTTCATCTGCTGGCTGACAAAATAGAATGAAGGGAGAAGAGCCCTCTGCCGGCATCTGCTGGTCTGGCAACTACCTAAGGGCTCCCATTTTCTGTGTAAATACCATTTTCTCTGAGAGAGCCTAATGCTCTCCTGGATATACAAAGTCCATGCAGCTTGTTTTATTTGTTCTTTGCAGGTTTCCCAGGTCTCCAGGGCCCTGCTGGTCTCCCTGGTGCCCCAGGCCTCTCCTTGCCCTCAGTCGTAGCAGGACAGCCTGGAGACCCTGGGCGACCAGGGCTAGATGGAGAACGAGGTAAAGACAGGAAGCCCAAATGAGGACTGACCATTAGCTTTTGTCTGGAGTTTGGGGAGGTCCCATATACAGTTCAGCACCACCTCTATGACTGGACATGCATGGGCCTGCTCAGCCTCACATTCCTCCCCCAGCAGGGACACATTTGGCTAAAAGGGTTTTTGAAGGTCTGGGCACTGGGACCCGACAGCCAGCCAGAGAACATTCTCTGCCCTGGGGATGAGCTTTGGCTTCCTATTAGTCCAAAGGCTTTCAGCAGTGGCCGCTTCCTGCTCACCTGCCCTTACTTAACCCTTTTCCCATCTCATCCCTAGGCCGTCCAGGCCCTCCGGGGTCCCCAGGTCCCCCTGGGCCATCCTCCAATCAAGGTGACCCTGGAGACCCTGGCTTCCCCGGAATTCCTGGTCCTAAGGGGCCCAAGGGAGACCAAGGAATTCCAGGTTTCTCTGGCCTCCCTGGAGAGCTGGGACTGAAAGGTATGACTGATTGCTTGGCTGGCTTTTGGGCCCTTTTCCACTCTACAGTCAGACATGGCTCCTTCCTATAGCCCTGTGAAGAGAGGTCAGCTGATAATGTTCTTCCTGCCCTCACCTTTGCCTAGTCTCTACTCCCCACCACCAGCACCACCATGCCAGGCCCTGACTTGCTTTCGTTTGGACTTTGCCAGGCATGAGAGGTGAGCCTGGATTCATGGGGACTCCAGGCAAGGTTGGCCCACCTGGAGACCCAGGATTTCCCGGGATGAAGGGGAAGGCAGGCCCAAGAGGTGAGTTGAGAGCTTGTGCCAGGCTGATCATAAGCTAGAAGAAGGGGTCCAGAGGTAACATTCCTTCGAGAGTCACTGCACACCCCACCAAGAAAGCCTGGATGCCTGAAACAGCTGAATCAAGCTCCTCTAGGGAGGCAGTTTGGTGATTTCTGCCCCCATTAGCTCCCAGGACTGAAAGCCACTGCTGCTTTGCCACCATAGATCCTACCACTGGTCTCCCCACTCTACATTAGTGGACATTGGGTTTGCATTCAGATCACCACTCACCCATTTGCTCAATTCAGAAATGAAAAAACAATCTTCCCTATACTTTACTATCACCTCTGTCACTCACACACATCTAATCCATTAGCAAGCCCTGAGGATTGCATCTCCTACATGTGCCCTGCATCCATTCACCTCTTATCACCACTACCATTCAGGTCCAAGCCATCAACATTCCCCACATGAATCACTGCAGTGACCTGAGATTACTAGTCTCCCTATTTCCATTGTGCACTTCCCCTAACAATCATTTCTCCACACAGTGGTGAGAGAGATGTTACAAAACTTAAATCAGCCCAGCCAGTGTAGCTCAGTGGCTTGAGCATCTTGCTATGGACTGAGAGCTCCTGGTTCAATTCCCGGTCAGGGCACATGTCCAGGTTGTGGGCTCAATATCCAGTAGGGGGCGTGCAGGAGACAGCCAATTGATGTTTCTCTCTCATATCGACGTTTCCAACTCTCTCCCTTTCTCTCTCTCCAAAAGTCAATAAAAACATCTTTTAAAATGTAATAAAAAAATTAAGTCATCCACTGTCTTCTCATGGCATATAAATAAACAAACTATGGCCACAAAGCCCTATGTGATTACCTCCCTTTTTATTCTCATCACCAGCCCTTCCCCTTTGCAGTTCACTGTGCTCTTGCCACACTAGCCTCTCTGTTATCCAAAAACACCTGGCCACAGGGCCTTTGCACATGCTACTTCTACTTCCTGGTATACTTTTGCCCCTCCACAGCTCTTTCTAATGCTTCAATGGTCTCAGCTTCAATGTTACTGCTTATAAGATGCCACTATCACTCTCTCTAAAGCAAGTTCCCCACTTCATTGCCCCCTCCCCTTCTTCCCATTGCCACTGCACTATTCATTTCCTTTGTAGCACTTTTCATAATTTGTAGTAAGATAATGGCATTTGTCAGGTTATACATTTTCATCTTTATCACCAGATCATAATCTCCATGAACATCTGTCTTATTCACTGCTCTATCCCCTGATCTACACAGTAGGCACTCAAGAAACACTTGTTCAATGAATTAGTAAGCAAATTGGTGTGTTTGACTTAAATAGTAAGCCAGCTGCCTGGATTTGGGGTCCTAGGCTGTGATGTCAATTGAACCTCTGGGATTAGAGGCATCCCCTTGGCCTCCTTGGCACTGCATTCTGACCAGGGAGTGAGTAAACCAACCACCCCAGCACCGAGCCAAGTCTCAGACTACCATATTTACAACAAACATTTCCTGACTTGCCTACTACAGATCAGGCCCTGTGCTGAGCCCTCAGAAGACAAGATAAATACAATTTAGCCCCCGTCATCAAGAAACTACCAATCCACTGAGCAGATAGATGGGTAAAGAGAACATTGTGTAAAGTGTGGTGAGAGCTGTCCTGGTGGCATTCAGGGGGGACTGTGAGGACAAAGAGGAAGGGCAGAAAACTGGTGATTTTGAGGCAGAAAGGAAGGCTTCCAGGGACACACCCAGACTTCCTCCTTGGCCTCCACCTGACATTTCCATTCCTCCCACCTGCACATAGGCTTTTCTGGGCCCCCAGGTACTCCTGGCCAAACACCAATTGCAGAAGCCATCCAAGCTCCTCCTGGACCCATGGGTCTACCGGGCATCGATGGCACCCCTGGTCTCATGGGGGATCCTGGAGTTCTAGGCCCTGTAGGCCTACAAGGTAAGAACGATGCCAGAGAAAGGGGACTTTTCAGGGAGCTGAGACAGCCTTAGCTGAGAAGCTGAACAAACCGGCTGGAAAGCCCAGCTCCAAGGGGACACCTTCCTCAAGCATTTTCTCCACTCCTCACAGTGTTGCCAAGCTTCTTGCCAGGAGGAAGAACAAGCAGAACCAGCAGTTGTATTTGGTTTTAGAAAATGTGTGAGCGGACTATAACAGCTACTCCAGACAGCTTGACCCTCACTAATATGCTGCTGAGAGAAGGAAGGAGTGTGGTGGGGGATGAAAGACAATGGAGAAAGTCCAGGGCTGGAGGACGGGAAACTCGGTTTCTAATCCCCGTTTTTCCCTTGACTAGAGTAAGTTAGCAGTCTCTCTGCGCCTCTGTGTCCTCATTTCTGGCATGGGATGCCAGCAGTGACCCTGCATTTTCCCCGGTGCTGCTGGGAGGATGAGAGGAAGGGAGGAGGAAATAAATGTGAAGTGGCTCAGAAGGGCTTAGTTTAGGGTGCAGTCCCAGAGCCCAGATGCCCTGACATGAGTTAAGGACTAGCCCAGAAGCTCAGCCCTGAGTTCAGTGTGAGCCCCTGTATGACAGCCAGTGCACCCTCTCCTGGTGACTCTTGGGCATGACATACGAGTCCCTTTTTTCTAGAGGGTTCCTCAAGACTCTCCATATTGAGTATCCCGCTGTGGGCCTTCTCTCTTTGTAGGCTCCAAAGGTTTACCTGGCATCCCTGGCAAAGATGGCCTGAGTGGGCTCCCCGGCCCTCCTGGGGCTCTTGGCGATCATGGTCTCCCTGGACTGCAAGGCCCTCCAGGATTTGAAGGTCTGGCAATGTCAGCACTAGGGGCAGAGGGCTTTTGTGAGGGTTTGAGGCTTGGTGGTGAGTTAAAATACCAAATCTGAAAACTAGGAAACCTGATGGTAAAGCTTGACATTACTCAGAGGCAGGAAAACTTGGCTCTAATTCATTCCCCCTGAGCCTGTGAAGGATTAGAGCCCTACATTCCTGAAGACAAAGGTCTGTTCCAAATCCTCTTAAGAGCTCTGACTCTACTGGATAGCATTTCCCCCTGTCCTTCACCTCCCTTTTTCTACCCAGGGATTCTGATGTGGATGGGAGGGAGTGGTTCAAGGGATAAGAAAATTTGAGATATGCTACTTACCTCCCATCTTAATCCGAGATAGCAATCAGTTGCCCTGAGTAGAGAACAGTTGTGGGGTTCAGTGGGAAAGTGGTATGATCTTTTACTATGGGGCAGGAGAGGAGGGCACAATGTTGCCCCGCTAATCCAAACACTGTTTTTGCTGCCTCTGATCCAGTAGGTAAAGGTTCTTAATTACCTCCTATGATAGCCTGAAAGGCTGGCCCAAGAAATATCCTCCTCTGTCCCTTCTTAGAGAACCCAAAGCTAGGTGACTGTGGGAGGGAAGCCAGACAGTGTGCTCTTTAAAATGGAGATTTAGTAACTGGATAAAGTCATGCCCCATTATCTGTGGGGGATACATTCTGAGACCCCCCAGTGGATACCTAAAACCATGGAGAGTACTGAATTCTATGTATACTGTTTTTTTTCCTATATGCATGCCAATGATAAAGTTGAACTTATAAATTAGGCACAGTATGAGATTAAGAACGTTAATAATAAAATAGAACAATTATAACAATTTATTGCAATAAAATGTATATGAATGACTTTGGGGTCATTATTAAACAAAATAGAGGTCACTTGAACACAAGTATTGCAATACCTTGGCAGTAGATTAGATAACTGAGAGGGCTACTAAGTGACTATGGGCAGGGAGCATATACAGTGTGGAGATGCTGGACAAAGGGATGCTTCACATCTTGGGCATGACAGAGTTGGATGGTGCAAGATTTCATCATGCTACTCAGAATGGCACACAGCAGCTTAAAATTTATGAAGTGTTTATTTCTCAAAATTTCCATTTAATATTTTCCGACTGTGGTTGATCATGGGGACCTGAAACTGCAGAAAGCAAAATCCAAGCTAAGGGAGGACTACTGTACATCTGAGTTGGCATTCTAGCTCCACCATTTTCTAGTTGTGGGACCTCTGGGCCTCAGTTTACTCATCTACAAATTGGGGTAATTAAATTGTGCCCTACTCAATGCTTGGCACAAAGTAAGTAGCTGCTGTTATTATTAGCTGCATCTGGCTCACCTCTTTCCTGCTCTTTCTCTCTCAGGACCTCCAGGAAAACAGGGCCCCTTTGGAAAGGCTGGACTGCCTGGACAGAGTGTGAGAGTGGGCTACACCTTGGTGAAGCATAGCCAGTCAAAACAGGTGCCCCTGTGCCCCGCTGAGATGACCCAGCTGTGGGTGGGTTACAGCTTGCTGTTCATCGAGGGGCAGGAGAAAGCCCACAACCAGGACTTGGGTAGGTACTGACTCTGACAGCCAGCCCTGGCCACCTGTCACCACAAAAACCAAGAGACATGCTCCTTACTCCTCCAGCCCTTGATGGGCCCACTGTTGGGTATTGGGTTACAAGCATCAGCTCTGGAGTCAGACAGATCTGGGTTGTAACATTAGCCATGTACCCAGGGTCAAATTATTCAGCCTCTCTAAGCCTCTTCTTCCTGATGGTGTAAGGATTACATGAAATCACCCAATGTAAATTGCTTAGAACAATGTTTGGCACATATAAAGCATCCAAATATGTTAGGGATTAGTAGTAGTAATAAGATGACCTGTGGGGCAAGGATGATTACCCAAGAATTAACTGTGTTGTCTACAGGTATGCTAACTCTGCAAAGCAGACTTGCTCTATTAAATGCTGGTTTTACAAAGCAGATTAATTAGGGAGTCATTATTCAGTTCATAAAAAGATTATTTTCATTACCAAACTTCCCAGATGCATTGAAAATAGGATTTGATCAACAGACTTCAGTGTATGGTACAGTGTTCCAAGATGGTAAGTGTCCCTGTTCTGGCACAATTGGTTGGATGTAAACCCAAACCACCATCCAGCCAAGTCCAAGGAGCCCTGGGCATAGTCCCAGCCTAGCCCATCTTCTCTCCTTCTAGGGTTTGCTGGCTCCTGCTTGCCCCGCTTCAGCACCATGCCCTTCATCTACTGCAACATTAATGAAGTGTGCCACTATGCCAGGCGCAATGATAAGTCCTACTGGCTCTCTACCACCGCCCCCATCCCCATGATGCCCATCGGCCAGACCAAGATCCCCCAGTACATCAGCCGCTGCTCTGTGTGTGAGGCACCCTCGCAAGCCATTGCTGTGCACAGCCAGGATATCACCATCCCACAGTGCCCCCTGGGCTGGCGCAGCCTCTGGATCGGGTACTCCTTCCTCATGGTAAGGCCTCTGCCCCAGTGTAGAGGCAGAGCGCAGGGATCTCGGGGGAGGGGGGGGTCCCTCAGACTGGTTTTCAGGCTTAAGGGACATGAGGTAGAAACCAAGGAGTTTGAAAGGAAGAAAAATGCTTGGCCTGGGCTTGGCTAAAGATCAGAGAGCCCACTTCTGCATGAATGACAGGTAATTACAGGTGTGAATAGAAAGGAACAGTTTGCACCCAGTGGTTCAGGGGTGAGAATATCTATGAATCACCGGCACAGGCCCTGAAATCTTTATGCCTGCTTCAGTTATGCCACAAGCAAGGGAAGGAGGAGGAACCACCCAATCTGGATAGACAGTGAGGGACAAGGTGTCCTCACTTAAGGCTGAGACACACTCTCACTGGTCAGGCTGGGCACGGCACTTCCTTCTTTTCTGTCCATGCTTGCTCTAGCCACCTGCTCCCAAAAGGCTCGGATGAGGGCATATTGTGTTTCCAGGTCCTTGCTGGGATATCTGCTGCCTTGCCATTTCGATGGGAAGGCAATGGCCAGCCAAGCTACGTGTCTTGATAAGAAAGAGCTGAGAATGTTTGTAAGCCCAAGGCAGCATCAAGTCCTTCACACAAAATTCCATGAATAACTGGGCACATTAAATAAGTAAAGGTCAGGTTTAAGGCCAGGATAACTCCGAGGGCAAACCAGTGTGACATCCACTGAAATACCTGCTTCACCAAAGCTCCTTTGCTAAAACACCAGGGGTGAGATGGGGAGAGAGTATCAAAGAAGAACTAATTACCAAACTGCAGTCTTCCTCACATTAGTGTACCTACCTGGGGTGATATACTTCATTTTTTATTTTTTTATTTTTTATTGATTAATTTTTGTTACAGATGTTTCTCCCCCCCCCCCCACTGATTCCCCCCGATATACTTCATTTTTGCTCTATCTTTGTGAATTGGGCAATTTGTCCCAATGTAATACAGAATTACCTATCAGTCTGTCCTGTCCATTGAGCTTCCACAAAGAATGGTACAAAAGTTATGTTCGAAATATCATGTGCTTTGCTCATGGGAGTGCTCTTAAACCCTTATTCAGAATCTCTTTACTCGTACTGTACACATTATTCTAACATACAAGAATATCTATATTTTTTCTGAAAATGTGTAAGGGTAGGAATTTGGACTGCCTAGTAAGGCATCTTGAAGCAATGAACCATGCCTGCTAAAAGGGAGAAAACAATTCAAAGGCCACCCAAGAGCTTTACAAGCTGTGTCTCTTGGTCCAGGTTCCCTGCATAATCCTCCAAAGCAAAAGCCAACATTTCACAGCAACAAGCCTGGGTCATCTGCAAAGTGTAAAATACATCGTCTGTTGATTAGTAAGGCGGGTAATGTGTCATTCATACTAGAAAGCTTTCTACTGGAGGATCAAAATGAGGAAATTTTTGATCCTTCATTTATTAGGAAAGGTCATTTTTATGGAGACACATTTTCCCAAAGTTTTGCGAAGTAATGTGTTATTGTGTGTCCAACTTGAGCATTTGTCCCATTGGCCATTTGCTGACCTGGGTGTGTATGAGGCCTCCCCACCTCCTGTGGTCCACATAATAACCCAGCTGAGGTGAGGGGGGGGCAGGAGTGGAGTGAGGTGGCTTCAGTCTGTGGGTACAGTGACCAGAGATTATTGGCTCATGAGTAGCACCAATGAGGAAATCCTGAAAATGAGTAGTGTGGGAGCTTCCTAAAGTGAGGGCTGGGATGTTAGGCTTAATCTGAGGCCTACATGTATACAGCAGGTAACAAACACTATATGTAGCCCTAAAGGTTGTGGTACAGATTGAAAATATAAGTTCTAATGAAGGTAAATTCAGAGTAAGAGCTATTAATAGATATGCTGGGGGAAGGGCCGGTGGTTTAACCACTTTGTGGAGTTTTGCATGTATTTTTCCTTCTTGGCATACACCACCAGGGGCTTGGAGTAGACAAAGGGCTTTGAGAACTGCATCCCAAAACCTATTGAATTTTCCTTAAGTCAGCCTTTCGCACACTTATTTGGCCATGGAATTGGTGGTGGTGGGGGGGGCTCCTAGCACACCTTGGAACTCAGTGGGGCAGCAGCAGTTTGGGAAACACTGGCTGAGATGTGGCTGCAGACCATGCACAGTGGGTTGGGATGGCACTGGGGATCTTGGAAGGGGTACTGCTGGCCTTAAGATCACTACAAGGGAGGATGAGTGGCCCAGGTCCTAAAATAAAGCCTTTGGTCTCCTGGCTACACACTAGGGCTGAGCCAAGGGGCCTGAGCTTAGGAAGGAAGCACACATTCCCCCTGGAGCAGCAGAGCATCCATCCTCTCCCATGGACCAAGCTCACACCTCACCCCTGTCTGTTTCAGCACACTGCTGCTGGTGCAGAGGGTGGAGGCCAGTCTCTGGTCTCACCTGGCTCCTGCCTAGAGGATTTTCGCGCCACTCCTTTCATTGAGTGCAGTGGTGCCCGGGGTACCTGCCACTACTTTGCCAACAAATATAGTTTCTGGCTGACGACAGTGGAGGAGAGGCAACAGTTTGGGGAGGAACCTGTACCGGAAACATTGAAAGCCGGGCAGCTCCACAAGCGAGTCAGCCGCTGCCAGGTGTGTATGAAAAGCCTGTAGTGTGGCCCCTGCCACTCAGCCCCTTGCTGTCCCTTCACCCACACAATGGTCACCTCACAAAACTGAACCATCTGAAGAAGGAAGGCGTAAGCCCATTTTGCTACCTGGCAAGTTGTCTATTGGAGTCTCATTTGGGCTGCACTACTGGACACTGATCACCCCAACCCTCAGGACCAATGGGTGATTCCACCCCGCTGACATCTGCTAAACCATTTCCATCAACCTGGTGCTACTGTTTGATTCGGATGTTTGTGTGACTATTCACGGCTACCTCAGAAAAACCTGCTGGGCTGCCAGTTTCTTAGACTGCTACCTTTCCTTGCCATCTTGATCACAAAGTGTTTCTATACTAGCTAAGTCATCTGTTTATGTCCAGAGGTCACCACGCATTATTTAGCTTAAACCAGAACCCAGTGTTTCCACATGAAAAAAAAATTATCTAGCTAAGCATTCATGGATGACTCAAGTCTGCATAGAGCAAGCCCTCATCCTTTAAGGAAACCCACAGTGTCTAGGCAGGCAGCAGACCTGGAATGAGGTGACAGCCAATAGCCCAGGATGAGTTCTGACTCCTTTGAGAGTGGGCACGACTGGGCTCCATATTGCTTAGGGAAGTTTGAAGGCCAGAAACCAAGAAGGGTTCATTAACCTCATATGGTCCTAGACAAATCACATCCTCCTTGCCAGCTCCCTCCCAGGCAGAGACCTATGACTTCGCCTGGTCCAAAGTAGAGTAGAGGATGCATCAAATGTGTCCGGGCTCATAAAGGGAAATGAGAACTACAGCCATTTCTCCCAGGTCAGGGGTAGAGAGGTGGGTGGGTAAGAAGCGTGAATTTTACTTCAAACTCCAGGATAAAAAAGGTAAATCTCTTGTTCCAATTTCTCAGAAGTCCCTGTTTAATCTAATGAAATTCAGATGTGTGTAATGTGGCAAATAAAAGGTGCAGTTTGTTGATTCCTTTGCATTTTGAGGCTGTTAGAGACTTTCTATTAAAATGTCCATCCAATTGCTCTTTTAGAGGTAGCCTGTGAAGATATTTTAATAAATTTTTAAAACTTCATAAAAATCTAACACACTCCTCTCTTAAGCAGTTAGCAGACCTAAAGCAAGCCTGAGTTGACTACAAAGTGTATTGTATTCTGTTTGGGGGATTTGTTTGAACCATTTTCTTTATCAGTTACTCAGAACACTTAGCTATGTTGATATGATGCAATTCCTTCCAGATGATTCTTAAACATTATGTAGACTGTGCCAACACAAACAAAACATAATCAGTATAATCTGTATTATTGTTACCTTCACCTCCTCTCTGAGTAATAAGCATGGTTGTCAGCTTTGTACATCACAAATAAAAGGAACTAAATACGAACATTTGACTCTTGATGTTCTTTGATGAAAACCTTTCTAAAGTCTATCTCACTATAATTCATGAGTCCCCCTCAGGGCCATGGGGGTTCCTGTTACTGCAAGTTGAGTTTTAAAACAAAACACTGAGGCAGGAAAAATACAATTAAATTCAAAGGACAGAAAGAGTCCTCTAACAGGCAACAAATACACAACCTGTTTCAAATAAGCCTACAACTGCTTTTAGCCCCATCACATGCTAGAGTTCAAGAAAGGAGTTCCCATAGTCTGGTACCTCAGGATCATTTTCAAACAAATAGACAGTAGAGAATGGTTCAAGTCATTAAAATAAAATCTAAGATATATATATTTGTATAAATATAAAATATATCCACTGCCACTGGAAAGATTAAAATTAACATTAGGAGCATCAGGGAATCAAACTGACATGTGGGAGTAAGAGATATTAGACTGAATACTATTTTGAATCTTTTGAATTTTGAACCACTAGAATATATTACCTACTGGAAAAAAAGAAAAACTTGGAACCTAAGGAAACAAGAGTTATAATATTACTAAATATAAAACAACAACAACAAAAAAACACCTTGATTTGGTGCTAGCTTTCAAACCCTAGTTGCTGGCTTTCCTCAGGACTTGGTTAAGGACACAAGTGAAATGCATAAAGGTTAAGAGGGCAAGAAGAAACTGGGAAGACACCACTGGAACTTGAAGTATAACCACATAGGAGAGTGGGTGGCACAGACAATATGACAACTATGTGTTTTAAAATTTACTATGTTGCTAGTCCTTAAATGGTTTGGAATTGTATTTGATACACAAATTATATGTCACCATATGAATAATTCTAATATGGCTGTCAACCAAAATGGAGTCTAATTCAAACACAATTTTTAATCTCCCAAACAAAAATCAACATTTTAAGTCAGTGATTGGCAAACCACAGCCTATGGGCTAAATCCACCATGCGCCTGTTTTTCTAAATATGGTTTTATTGGTTCACAGCCAGGCTCAGATTGTCTATGGCTGCTTTTTAAAAAAATATGTTTTTACTGATTTTCTAGAGAGAGGGAGGAAGAGAAAGAGAGAGAGAAACATCAATGTGAGAGAGAAACATTGATCAGCTGCCTCCTGCACGCCCCCTACTGGGGATTGAACCTGCAACCATGTGTCCTGGCGAGGAATCAAACTGGGACCTCTCAGTTCATGGGACAATGCTCAATCCACTGAGCCATACCAGCCGGGCATATGACTGCTTTTGAACTTCCAACAGCAGAAATAAGTAGCTGTGACAGAGCCGACGTGGCCTACAAAGCTTGAAACATTTACTATCTGGCCCTATACAGAAAACATTTGCTGACCCACCATCTAAGTGATCATGATTTGATTTAAAGGACAGGGTGACATCTGACAAAAGTATCAGTAAAGAAGGGAACAGTGAGTGACCCATTAACTAGTAAGGTTTCCCCAAAGAGTCAGGATATCAACAAGTCCACATCTGACATAATTTTGACAAACATTTTGATTTAAATTATAATTAATTAAAATACATATTCAAATAATTTAACAAGAACTTTTTCTCCCTGATGTAATCATTTTATTATTAGAGCAAAAGAACAGACTGCTTCTTAGTATTTAGCCCCAAAGAGGTCACACTCGAAAGGGTGAGGAAGGACAGGTAACCATCTCTCATTTGCTGGTGCTTGAAGCAAGGTGGGAGTTGCTGTCTATCTTCCAGATGTCCACCTCCTCATTTCAGTAGTGGCAGACTCGCTGTGGCCATGTACGACAAGCTGGGAAGCAAGGATGGCTCCTAATATTTCTGTTCCTAGATTCCATGATTGTTCTAGTTCTTTCTGGGGAAGAGTTGTTAATTGTTTTTTTCTGAGAAGCGGTGATTGGCTCAGTCATGATTGGTTGCTATCAAGTTTGTATGCTATTGGCATAACAGGCACTTGCTGACTACAAAAGTTTTATGTCATAAATTCATGTTCTTCTGGTTCCAGATGGAAGACAGACCTTAACGTTGAGTTCCTACTATTCTATACACTCAGAATCTCGAACTCTTCCTCCAGGTCAAACTCCTCTAGTTGTTCAGTAGAGTCAATGAATTCTGTCAGAAAATGAGAAAGAAGAAAAACATGATGCTTAGATTGAAGAGATCAAGACACTACTCAGTAGGGAAGACTATACATTTTTAAATTGTTTTGGTAAAGAAAATTTTTTGTGGAAGAGGCAACAGCTAGGACCACTGCCATGTATTAGAAATTCTCTACAAAGAATAAAAATAACTAGACTTGTTACATAGTCCTATTCACAGTGATGAGTATGACGCTCTGTAAGAACTTGGAGGTACCTTTTGACTCACCCATGGCCTCTGATTTGTTATTCTGAACCAGACTATTTAAAAAAATCTAGTCATTTTGATTTTACATGAAACTTTTGCACTGAGCTTATTTTCTGCTATTATATCATTCTTTGAAATCAATATCAGTTCATCAGCGGATTTAGATAATCAGAAGTACCATTTTTTTATTAATTCATACAATTGCTTCTATCTCATAAACCAAATGCTACATGTGGGTCTGCTGGTTATAGAATCCCTGAACAACCACTTACCTGCCCCAGTGGTTGTTACCTCTGGTTTGGCTGGAGGTACAAAGGGAGGCCAGTGTGATGGATGTTTCTGAACTAATTCAAACATCCTTAAGTTTTCCTTTAGAATTTCCTGAGGAGATATAGAAACAGTTATAAACACTACAGAGTCACTATATTTCTGTCCAATTGGCAATCTATGACCCCAAGTCCTAAGACAGTGGCCTGGTTGTTGAAAGATGAAAGCAAAGAACTAGTAAATACACCCATCCTCTACTTGACCTGTCTTCAGGAGGGAAGGCCACTGGAGGGAGTATCTGATAGAAGGCCAGTACTCACTGCCCAAACTCCATCATGAGGTTTAGCTCATATGCCAGTTGCATGGACTCAATTCAATTTAGGGCTGCGATGGTCCTGAAGTGTTGTCTCCAAAGAAATGTTGGTTAATCAAATAAAATCTGCCCATATTGGCATGGTTTCCATTTAGTCCACCACCTACAGTGTATGTTTTAATTTAAATGGCATAGTCTTATCAGAAAAATTTTCTTCTAACTTTAAATGTGACATATATATGTAGTTTTGCTGAAATATAAGTATTGCTTTTAGAAAATAAGTCTTCATTATGTCTCAGCTAATTATTAACTGGGGTTTCAGATTCAGCTGGGGACATTGTTGTTAATTATTTGTTCACTTGTGAAGAAAAATCTTCCCTCCTTACACCTAGAAGAGTCTCTTGCCTCCCATCTCTCCAATCTCTTTGTTTTGTAAATAGGAAAACATTGTGTTTCTTTAAACTATTCCCTATGATTTCCCTTCATTTTTTCACTAAGCATTTATCAATGTCTTCCACATATTTGGTATGTGTTACAAGCTGAGGATTAGGGAGGCAGGTACAAAGAGTGGTGATTCAACAAAAATAAATACCCTTTTATACAAAATATTAAAAAAGAATAATTGGCTTTAGTATTTACACAGATTTCTCCAAACTGTTTTTCCTTTAAGTAGCAGCATGCCTATATTTTATATAAATAAGACAGTTAATAGAAAGGCAAGTCCCCTAAACCATAATGGAATACAGTACATTAAACTTTAAATGGACTACTAAATAAATAGCAAAGTAGATTAGTTTCTTCAATCATGTCAGTGGTTTAAACAGACTAAGAAAACATTTAGGCTGAGCTATATGAAATTGGTATATTTAGGTTAAAATCATAGAATATTAAATATTTCATGACTCATAGGCATACTGGGATAAAACATTAAGTAGCTAAAAATATCACTCGACTTACTAAGCATATTTATAACAAAAGATTTTCTTTGGTTCCCCCAAAGTTATGCGCTATTCCCCACATCTTAGTTTCTTTCTCTTGCAATAAAGTCATATCAGGCTAGGTTTATGTTACTATGAAAAACAGTTTTGAAAAGGAATCATGTGGAATAACTTCTGTTTTTAAGACTAAGAAAAACAAATATCTTTACCTTCTGAACAAGGCAACACCAATTATCAAAGTCTTTTTCTTCTTTGCAGAAAAATCCCTTGGGGGAAGCAAAAGAACACAACTTAGAACTGGTCAGGGGCGGGCACCAAGGAAGGCGCCCCTATACTACAAGATGGAGCCATTGGCCTAGAGTTACAATGTAGAATGTGGGCCACTCTCCTTGGATATGATTTCACAACAATTAAAAGGAAGACTGGTTGGGCTTATCTCTCTCCTAGATCATTGCCTCAGTTGGACACAAGCATTTGCTCATTCATTCTCCCCTCCCCCTCACTCTCTCTCTCCCATCTCCCTTTCTGTCCCTCCCTCTCCTTTTGTCTCTCCATCTCCCTATCCCTCTGTTTCTCCTCTCTCTCTGCTTCTCTCTCTTATTCTGTCCCTTTCCCTCCTGATCTTACTCCCCTCATACTGTGAGATATAGTAACTTGAAGTCCAATCTCCCAAGTGTAGGGTTAATTCCATTACATTCAAATGTACACATCTTTAAAGAAGAGTCAATTAAACCAGTAAAC